CAGATGCACCGAAAATATATCTTCTTATCTAGCATTCAACAAATGCCAAAAAGAAAAAAATCAACCCTAGTATGATCATTTTCGTCTGTTATTTGGAAAGATTAAAATAACACCCAGCGTTGGAGAGGTTGTTGGGAAAATGGGTATCCCCAAGAATAGTTATCCCTGCCAGACAGGAAATAAATTGGTACATGCCATTGTTGGCCCATGAAGCAAAGGTTAAATTGTCAACTCTTTGATAGATCAATTCACTTTTAGGGAAATTATTCTAAGGAGATGGTCAAAGATTGCAACATTGTGTAAAAAATGTTCATCAAGGAATTATTTTCATCTAGCCCCCAGATTGTGATCTGTAAATCCTCTTACCACTAAAAAGAAGGAGTCATTGGAGAAATGGTTGCTTTAAGGTCTGGGGCAAGGGGTGTGTAAGTGAGCATGGGGTACCTAGTCATCCCGGTAAGCCAGGAAGGCAGCTGGGAGGAAGACATTAAAGCAGTTGGCCTGTGATCCATGCACTCCCTTTAATGGAGGAATAAATATGCTTGGGGAATAGAAAAGAAGGCAGGTGATTGGGTCTTATCCCCTCGTCAATTGCACCTTCAAGGAAACAGACAAATTGCCAGGAAGAAGAGATGGTATCTGTGTCCTCAGCTAAAGAGTTGCTTATACTAGTAACACCCAGAAGCCAGGAGACATGATTTCCTACAGAATGTCCCAGAAACGTTTTCTAACTCTCTGCAATATAAAATGGAATATTTCATAATGTGAATTTACTCCCTGGGTGAGGAATCCTGTGAATCTTACTTAGAGACTCCCATCTATTCCACATTATTATTAATGTGGGAAAGAAAGACCTGGAGGACAAGGCTTGAGGTCTCAGGTGTCTCTCTGCTTCATCTGAGGCTCTTGATTGCCTTAAGTTATTAGGAAAGCTTGCTGCTGATTTGACCATCCAGTCCTTTGTTTTAGCTCTGTAGCAACTATTGAGATGCTATCAGAAAGACTCAGAAGTCAATTTGAAGAGGCTCCCAATGGGCAAAATGGAACAACTTGAAAAATTAATAAGAATAATAACTGCAATGGATTAAAAAAAACAAGTGTGCTTAAGTCCATGAATTACTAATGATACTAAAACCAAAACCAAACAAAAACTTCTCTGGTCACTTTTGTAGGGTATTATTCTTCCTTTGCTATACCTCAGGGTAATCATATAGTGGATGAGGAAACGTTTCTCATTATAGAAGTGTTCCGATGAATAAACAAAGAAGGAGTGATAAAATATCACCATTTTGTGATACCTAATAGATTATAGAAGTGTTCCGATGAATAAACAAAGAAGGAGTGATAAAATATCACCATTTTGTGATACCTAATAGATTAGGGCCGTCATCATCACGGCTGCCAACACAGCTACAAGAAAGACACAACCAGAAGTTTGTAACACCACCTATGAAGTACTCTTGCAAAAAAAAAAAAAAAAATCCCAAATAACAACATCGTATCAAGCCTCTAAATCTAACTGCCAATTACAAAAAAATAGAGGGACCAAGAAACACGTTAAACTACCCCAATGGTTCAGTCTGCAAATTGTAAGGCAAAAAAGCAATTCAGGGAGAACCTATAGATCAACAGAGACTTTAGGAGACCTCTCAACCCGCTGCGGTGTATGGCCCTCATTTGGATCTGAAATCAAACAACAAATGACAAAAAAACAAAACTCATAAAATAAACAGACCCTTGGTGAAGTGTGAATGCTGCCTTGATTTTTATGTCAAGGAGTTACTGTTAATTTTTTAGATGGGATAATATATGATATCGTGGTTGTTTTTTAGTTAATATACATATTTATAGATGAAATGAGATGATGTCTGAGATTTACTTTAAAATAATCCAGTATAAAACAGGAAGATGCTGGTAAAACAAAATTGGCCTTTTTGATAGTTGTTTAAGTAAAATGATGGGTAAATCAGGTTCATTATATATATATATATTTTTTAAAATATATTTTTAAATTACTATGACTATACTGTTTTCCTTTTTTTTTTTTTTTAAGATTTATTTATTTATTTATTTGAGAGAGAGAATGAGATAGAGAGAGAGAGCATGAGAGGGGGCAGGGTCAGAGGGAGAAGCAGACCCCCCGCTGAGCAGGGAGCCCGATGCGGGACTCGATCCCGGGACTCCAGGATCACGACCCGAGCCGAAGGCAGTCGCTTAACCAACTGAGCCACCCAGTTTATATTTTCTTTACTTTTGTATGATACAACTTAAATTTAAAAGGGACACTGGATGTTGTGCACAGAGGTGACTGCAGGGGGTTAGGGTAGAAACACATGACCACTTAGGAGACTACTGCAGAAATCAGACACTAGATGGCGCTATTAGTGGGGGCTGGTGAAGAGTGGTTGGATTCTGCCTGTATTCTGAAAGTAGAGCCACATGATTTTCTGATGGATATTATGTGACATGTGAAACTATTCTCATTATCTATAGTTGGAGCTTAAAAAGTCGTCATACATTTCTTTTGTAGTTTTATCTTGTTTAAAATTTTTTAAATGAGCTTACTTATTAACCAGAAGAAGTACAGATTTTTTTGTTTGTTCTCAAGACAATAAAAACAATTACTGAGAAAACAGTAGTTCAAAGGCATTGTCATCTTCGAAAGAATGGGATAATATATTCTGGGGCCATGTTTAGAGAATAAAGGTCCACAATCTCATCTAAAACCTTTGGTGCCAGAAGTTTCACAATTCAGGAAATTTCAGATTTTAGAAACATAATATACAGCACATGGAGTCTATTATGTAATCCTCAAACAGGGTCCGGGGAAATACTCTCTAACCAAATGCATTAATATTTCTGCAGTAACACATAAGAATATTCATACTAAATGACATAAAGATCATAAATGGTCTTACATCAGATCAGGTTAGGCTTATTACCAATTGAGTTTGGAGCTGAACTTAGGAAAACATCTTTTGGTTTACAGAATCTTTTAGATTTTGGCATTGTACATAAGGAATTTCAATTCAGGTTGGCATACATTTATTTAGTACCTACTATGTGTCCCTGATCTTGAGGACCTTATATGCCATGCATCGAAGCAGTAAACCAGCAACTTTAATAGAAGGTGGGGACATTCCAGGCAGTGGGAACAAGAGAAAGACATAAGGCTGTTATGAGTGGGCTGTGTTCAGAGAACAAAGTAGCCCAATTTAATTTGTTCTGTTTGAAAGAACGTAAGATTATATATTCTAATAAAGTAGGCAGCTGATGTTTGAAAGGTTATGTTTTGTCATGTTTTTTTAATCATTATCAGCATGGTACTTTTTGTGAGTATTGTGTGTGTGTGTGTGTGTGTGTGTGTGAGACAAGGGTGTGGGGGGTAATATTTCAAAGGTTAGGATCATTGGTGAGGCCTCAGAGAATTTAATGCTCTGGGTAGTAAGTAGCTGAAAAGGCTCTCTGAATCATTAATGCAGGGATAGATGACTAAGAACATTTCTGTGGGTTGGGCCCATTCAGCATGAAGCTTAAGACTTTCTGAGACTGTTTAGCAGCCTCTACTCTTCCATGGAAGGCACCAGGGTATACCATGTAAGCAACCAGCTTTGGGGACCCTTGACTCAGACCCTACAAGAATAGGACTACACTGAGGCAGTCTACTGAACTGAGTTCCATTTCTTTATTTTATATTTTTTAAAGATTTTATTTATTTATTTGAGAGAGAGAATGAGAGACAGAGAGCATGAGAGGGAGGAGGGTCAGAGGGAGAAGCAAACCCCCCGCTGAGTGGGGAGCCCGCTACGGGACTCGATCCCGGGACTCCAGGATCATAACCTGAGCTGAAGGCAGTCGCTTAAACAACTGAGCCACCCAGGCGCCCAGTTCCATTTCTTTAGGAAGCGATGTGAATTTTTTAGCACTGTAAAAGGAAAACACCATTAAATCCTTATCATAATCAAACATGATAAGCTGAGTGATTTCAACGCTTAGTGAGATTTCAGGTAGGACAGGCCATTCTTGGAAGACCATTTGGGCAGGAGCTGCTCTTATGTATTCAGTGAGAGTGGCTTATTACCTAAATAGGAAAGGAGTTAAATGATATTTTCACAATCGTCACTTTTTCGATCAGCTAGAGGACTAGGGCAATCAAAGGGCTGGCTTCAGTCCTGATGGATGTAGCAAGGGAGGGAGAAGGATGCTGCTTGGATGCAGGGCTGCCATCAAGGTGCTGCCAGCCCGAGGAGTGACACAGGCAGCAGGCCAGGTCTCTCCCCGATACAACTGCTGTCAGCACCCAGACCTCGGGCCTGGAGCTGGGGCCTGTTTTACAACCTGAAGGGTTCTTTCGTGCTGTGGTTTCCATAGAATGACACCCAACGGTCTCCAGCTGGTGTTCATCCAGGACGGCTCAGTGAGACTCACACAGCCGCCTCCCTTCTACTGCCACCAGGATCAGCACGGAGCTACTGGAGCTCTGCGCTAGCCTCAGGCTACGTTTAAGGAAACTGAGCTCGAAGAGCTGGCTGGGACTGGCTGTTGAGGCAGGAAAATCTGGGTTTGAGTCTAGCCTTTTTCAACGTCTTGATGTGAGACCTCTGGCAAAGGCTTTTAACTTCTGGTTAAAACTTGTAAAAAGAGGGAGAGGGATACATACCTCATAGTTTTGGTATGATGATTAAATAAGACAAGGTAGAGAACCTCTTCCCACTGGCCTACAGTCATTCGAATTCCAGCTCTTTTACTCAAGGGCCTGCAGGGTTTCCATGCTGTAGTCATAGTTCTTTTTGAGGAATGCCTCTTGCTGGCCGGACTAGGAGAACAGTCACGTTCCCCTCCAAGCCTTGGTCACAGGGGTCAATACAATAAACATTTACTACCTTACTCTGTGTGCTTCCGGACACTTGGAGTCAACAGCAGAAGCAATTAATATATGGCATGACTCCCAGTGAGCAACTGTGATGAGAAAGTACTTGAGAATAAGCTCTGATGCTTACCACTTCACGCTTTTCCACTTCAAACCAGCGGGAAATTCCAGGTAAACTCTGCACCAAGTATAATGATGTTCTCTCCACCCAGAGACTCTACGGAATACAAAACAAATTAAGTCCCCAAGTGTCCCTTCTTCCTAGTTACTGAGCTATGACTAACGTTAGCCATGCGATTTGGTCAGGTTTGCTTATTTCTGTAGGCTTTTCTTTAGTATCCCTTCTAGCATGTGGGTAATCCCTTCACACTCGTGAAGCCTTCACGGTAAGATACCACTGATGCCGTGTTAATCATTCCCATTCTGTGTTGTCGGACACTTTTTCCTGTGTGGAATACATCATCTACTGCAGACAGCAAGCTTAAAATAGAGTAACACCACAGTTATTTCCTTTGCTAGTTCTTTCACATTCCAATTTAAACCCCCTCACTCCTTAAGGTCTTGCCATTTTTATCTGGAAGGGGTAACAGTATCAGCTAGTCAACACAGGTTTAGAATAATAACATCCTCACAGAGGAAAGGTCCATGAAGAATCACGTAGCTCCACCTTTCTATTTTAAAAAGGGAGATGCTAAGCATCCAGGAGGCAATGTGACCTGCCCGGGGGTACATTCTAGTTCCCAGACTCTACCTACTAGAACTTCTGACTTCCTCACTGCGCCACATTTTCTCACACCCATTTGAACTGCCATCATCCAGGAGGATCCGTATTTCAAGAGCTGAGGCTTCCCCTGGCCAGGAGAGCACCCCCGTGACACGGGAAGCCACAGCTGCCTTGATAAGAGCCGCTGTGGGCGACAGATTTCTCTTGTGTCAACCATGTCTCTCTGTCTATGCCTCATTTTTCTCAAGAGGATAACAAACTTCACAAAATCCCTGAAATAGTGCCACTTATTCCAGAACAACAGAAACTGGGAGGATTTCTTCGTGTCAGCCAAGATATACTGAAATGAATATGGCAGAGTCCCTGTGCCGGCGGCTGGAAGCATCGCGGCGGTGACAGGGAGGTGAGCGCATGGTAGGGGTGACAGGGAGGTGAGCACGGAGGGAAGGGCTCAGGGCAAAGAGAAAGGAACGCTGGGCTCGCGGTGCTGGGGGAGAGCAGAAGGAAGCAGGCAGGCAGAGCAGCCTGTGGGAGGAGGACGGCACTTCTCAGAGGAGGTGACACGTGAGCTGAATGCTGAAGAGTGAGTAGGAGTTTGCCAGGCGGAGGGAGGGGGAGCGCTGCAGGCAGCAGGAAGCAGCCCACGCAGAGACCCTAGCGAGCGAACCAGCGAGTGAGCCAGGGGCTGGAGAAAGGGAAAGGGCACGCGGAGATGGGGAAGAGAAGTTCGGTCTCGCTGGAGCCCCAGAGGGAGGGTGGGCGAGTGGGATGCGGTGCAGATGAGGCTTCTGAGGGGCAGTTTGGTGCCAGATGCTGAGGGCTGGAAGCACAGGAATGAGGAGCCAGACTTATCGTATTTTCTAGGGGGACTGCTATAGCACTGATAAATATGCTGGAAATGAGCTGGAAATGCGCTGCAGCAGGAAGTGCAAAGGAGTAGGTACTGGAAGGTGTGGGTTGTAGTGTAGGGTTTCCGGGTAGTTAGAATGTGACTTTGAGCAAGTCACCTGCCTGACTCCAGCAGATCTCAGACTTTGTATTCAGTGTCCCCAACCGCAACGAAAGCTGTATTATAAACTAATGATCATTAATTGGTTTTGTGGGACACAAAGAAAAATGTAAGTATCCAAAAGGACTAGAAATGATCATGGATCTTTTCAATGACGTCCCCGTACTGTCTTCCAATAGTTTCTTTGCCTTGATAGGTAACCCATCGGATCTCCTTGCACAGAGGACTGCCCTATGTGGAGGCCCATCGTGACACTGCAGAGCGACCCCAGCTTCCCCTTCTGATTGCCCGGCTGTGCCCCATTCCTGGAGCTACTGCTGTGGGCGCTGGGAACTGACACTTAGGCAGAGGAGACAAGGACAGTTAACATCAGAGATCACTGCTAATAGTGTTAGGAGGACGTTTCCCAGCTTAAGTAGAGACTCTGTGATAAAAGAAGCTAAACCAATTAACCCACAGTAATAGGTCAGTTTTGTAGGGGGGGGAATACTGACTAACCAGGGATCTATCTGGTCCCACTTTGTCACTGTTATCAAGGAAAGAAGAGATTATAACGTATCTGTGGCACAATCCCCCAGTAGGGCTGTTAGACAGTCCAAGAGAGCTCGGGATGGCAAGGCTTATTACAACTACTGAGAATGGACGACTCAGCACATGCAAGGAGTCTATGGTTGGCTTTTACTCGGTGTCTTCTCAGAAGTCCTAATGACACACCATTCTAACAAGAAAGAGCAGAAGATCACACAGAAATCTTTCACTGTACCAGCAGTCTACCTAACTGTTCCCTGTCTCAGATTCTTCATTTCCCCTGTCGGTTAAGCATTCTTTACTCACTGCACACTATCTGAGAACAAATATCCTGTGGTCCCCACCGTTGGTTCAATATGAGTGAATAAGAAGGCTGAGCTCAACCGTGACATCTCAAAGACTGGTCTAAGGACCACCAGCACTGTCACAAAGAAGCTGATTATTCCAGGCCTTCCTCTCAGACCTACTGAGTCAGGATTCCTGAGCTAAGAAGTCTGCTTGGTTAGAAAAGCACCCCCACGGCACTCTGATATACAGTTGAGTTTGAGATCAACAAGACTCAATGGTTTCTAGTCCCTTCTGCTTCTATCACTTGACTCTATTCTAAATAAATACTTATCGAGGGGCTTGTTCCAAAGAGCTCATGGGAAATCGTATGTAATAAGAACTGCACGGTACCTTGAATTCATTTTCTTTATCTTTAGTGCCTTTGTGAAATGGTCTGTCATAGCGGAATTTCCAGATATGATTCACTTTATAGAAACTTTTGATGTTGTCCGGAACACCCTCTCTCTGCAGGACCTCCTGGCTCTCCGGGATGGGAGTCACGGCATAGATCTGCAAATCTAGGATTAAAAAGTCAAGGAGGAAACCTGACTTGGCAAACGCCATGGAAATCTGGCTTGAGCTGAGCTGTGGCAGAGAGCAGAGAATGGGTAAACAATCTGGTGTTTCCACTGGGTCGAAGTCATTTAAAAAATGTCAAGAAGGGGCCAAGAACTCAGTTCATGACAAATCATTTCTCAAACTACAGGCCTTGAACTAGTTTTAGGGAGGTGATTCTGACAAAGTATCTGTTTAAAATGTCTATAACGTGTGAATTTATCACTGATTTTTTTTTTCTTCTTTCTTTTCTTGGTAGGGGGTGGGTGGGAATGGCTTGGATCTTAGGTACTCAGAATTGTATTATTCTAATCCTTAAGAGACATTCCAAGCATGGCCCCTCTTAACTAATGTTTGTTTGTAAAATAATGTATAAATACCCATGCAACCATGACCAAAGACAATAACCAGTTCTGACAGTGATTTATATTTACTTGTGTGATGCTCTGTGTCTCCAGCCCTCCCACACTTGTGGTATCACTCTCCCAAATCTTATACTGATAAGCAGAGTGTTGTTGTAGTTGATATTTAAAAAATTACATTAAAGGGGTATCATATGAATCACTGAACACTACATCTAAAACTAATGATGTACTATATGTTGGCTAATTGAATTTAAATTTAAAAAAATAAAGGGGTATCATATTTACTTGTATATTTACCTTCTTCTCTTCTCATTCAAAGAAGGATAGCAAAATCTTTTCCCTTATGTAATTTCTTGCTTCTGTTGCATTTTATTTTCTACTTTGAAATGGGATCCATGATTATCAATGGGAGTTTCTTGTCTTCTTCAAGATCTTAAGTTTTGGGAGGAGACAGAAGCATTCACAAAGGAGTGCTGGGGTGAATTCCTTTTGTTTCTAATGCCTGGATAATTTCAGTTGAGTTGTTTGTATTTAGATAATGAAAGTGTCAATTACATAGCAATCATCAAAGGCTGTCCAAAATGCCATGGCTAAGAATCCTCCAGAGATACTAAGGTACCTCCTTCTCTGCACTTCCTTCCAGAATAAAAATATCAAGGGAAAAGGGGGTGAATGATATGTGCCAGGAAATATAATGCTATTATTTCCTCCAACTGAAGCAGTTTCCACAGGGTATGTTGGAGGAAAATTATTCTAAGGGAAATCACTAAAAGGAGCTTTAAAAACAGGGTGGAGATATAGAAAAGTTTTAATTAAAAGGAAAAAAAAATTCTTTACCAGAATTTAAGGGATTTCCTTTCAACTGACATTGTGATAGTAACTAGAACATTTCTGTTCAGAAGGAGCTAAGCTAAAATCAAGATGAGTGAGAAAGAGGGAGAGTAAGAACATGGCAAAGAGGCCAGAGGCTGAACAACCTTGCAGGAAAACACTCTGCAGCAAACGGCCAATGGCCCTAACTGCAATGCAGCCCGTCTAGGTGTGGATACACTGAGCTTCCGCCTGGAAGATGGTCTCGTCGGGCTGGTTGGCGTGCTGCATAGCGATGGCTTGGGGGAACTCATTCAGCATTCTCTGTTGGAAGGCCTCCAGCCTTTCATAGTCATGCCCTCGACACACAAACTCCTTATTCTGGAGGTGAAATAAACAAAGAAAAGAGAGCCATGTAATTGAGTGCGTTCCTTACAGAAAGAAGCCAAAAAAGAGGACCGTGGCAGGAAGTGAGCACATGCCTCACATCCATACACTGTAACAAAACCCCCCCAAAAACAGTCTGAAAAATTTGCCCAGATGTGAAAAATGCGAGGCAAGGATCCCGAGCTTCCCTCCCTATTGCTTTTGGTCAGAGGCCCCAGCACGTGCCCCTCCTCCCGGATCGTGTGCTAAGGTGCAAAGAGGCATCGGATTCTCAGAGCACCAAAACATGAAACAAAGCAATCATGTTCCCTCTAAATGCTGATGAGCACATGTGTTAAAGATTTTTTTTTTTAATATAAGCTGGGTATCAGAGTTTAGTGGATAAAGTCTCAATAGGGAGGAAAAGAAAGTAAATTCGATCTCCAAAAATGCATTTTATTGCATTCTTTATCAAGGCCACAGAGATGGGCCTCCACACTGGATCCCGGCATGGAATAAAGGAAGACTGAGCCTGTTCGTATTCCTGCTCTCAGCAAGGCTGGCCCAGGAAACTTCTCTACCATCACCATTACTGGCCTAATCTGAGATTTAGGGTTTGTAGGGACTTGCCGAATGTTGGATACATTTTTTTCCTGTTTTTTTTTTTTTTTGTTGTTGTTGTTCGTTTGTTTTGTTTTATAAGATGTATAAGTACTCTGTGGGCCAGGACTGTATCTCGTTCAGGTAAAAATGGTGAAGGTTATCCTTGAGGTAGGCTAGAGAGCTGGAAAGGTGGGCAGGTTTCTTTAAAGCACCTTACTGGGGACGCCTGGGTGGCTCAGTCGGTTAAGCGGCTGCCTTCGGCCTAGGTCATGATCCCAGGGCCCTGGGATCGAGTCCCACATTGGGCTCCTTGCTCAGCAGGGAGCCTGCTTCTCCCGCTCTCTCCCTCTGCTTGTGCTCTCTCTGTCAAATACATAAAATCTTAAAAAAATAAAATAAAATAAAGCAGCTTACTGGTCAGGTTAGGTAAGAGGGAACTCTGCCAGCTTAATGGTTATGAAGTTCCAACTGCTTAAAACAGCCAATGACAAGGCACTCTGTACATATCTTACTTAACCCACTAAACTTGAGAGGTAGTCACTCCCACATCCCACCCCATTTTAGAACTGGGAACTGAGGATCAAGATCCTTCTGTACTTTGTTCATGTGTACTGTATTTAAGCTCAGGTGTGGGACCAAGGCCTGAACTCTGTACAGCCAGAAAAAACTCCTAGTTGCTACTGGGACCATAAAAGGTTGTGGGTGACATGCCCTGAAGATCTTTAAGAGAAAGAGGGAGTGGTTCGTGGTCTGGGGGAGCTAGCTAAGGCCCAAGGTTCTCAGCATTTCTCAGCCTGATGAGGTTCCTATGCTTGCACAAAATGCCCTAAGGAAGAAATCTGAGCCAGGGGCAGGGGGCTGAGGGTTGCAGCCGAGAAAAAGCAGCTGCAGAGGAAACAGCAGAGAGTGGGCTCTGAAAGCCTGTCACAATTCCTCATAAACCCCCAAATCATGATCCTTTGGTAACACAGGCTAAGACAGACTACCTAGAAATCAGGACCCCCACACAATCCCATGTTTAAAACTGTCTAGATAAAAGAAGGTATGCCTTCTGATGCTATGTATTTTTTATTCTACTCAAAAGATAATAAATTTGCTTGATAAAGTAAGACTACATATGTATATATATGTATGTATATAAATATACATACATATATGGTGCATATTATAGAAGTCCCCAAATAAATATCCGAATACTCTAATAACTGCAGCCTTTTTAAGGCACTGCTTACATATTACAGCAGTTTATAAAATCAGGGGTTACTCTAAGCATATAATCATTCAACGGTGTTAAGAAGTCATTCTGAAATAAAAATAAATTTGGGGACTGATATTGGAGTTGTCAAGAAATTAAAAGGAATTAAAAGCATTTCCCCCATCAATACATTTTTTAAAAAATCACAGCTTTGAAATATAGTTCACATACCATAAAAGACACCCTTTTGAAGGTTTTTAGTATATTCACAGACCAACTATCACCACTGTTGAATGTGAGAACATTTTCATTACCTCAAAGAGAAACTCGTACCCATCAGCAATCACTCCGTTTCCTCCAACATCCCCCCAGCCTCTGAAACCACTAATCTACTTTGTTTCTATGGATTGCCGATTCTGGACATTTCAAATAAATGGAATCATACAACATGTAGTCTTTTGTTACTGACTTCTTTCACTTAACATGATATGCTTAAGGTTCATATATCAGTACTTCATTCCTTTCTTACTGCTAAATATTCCATTGCATGGATATACCATATGTTGTTTATCCATTCATCGGTTGATTGTTATTTGGGCTGCTTCCACTTTTTGGCAATAGTGATTAGTGCTACTATGAACATTTGTGTACAGGTCTTCGTGGGAACATATGTTTTCAATTCTCTTGAGTATATACCTAGGAGTGGAATTACTGGGTCACATTTGTTAATGCTTAAATTTTTTTTATTGTCTTTTCCTTTTGAAAAGGAAATACAGATATATGGTAAAAAAAAAAAAAAAATCCCAAACAGTACAGAGCATACAATGAAAAGTAAATCTCTCTCATCTTTGACCTTGGTCATTCTCCTCAGACAAACCTCTATTCAGAGATATTCTGTGCATAAAGAGATTGTCAGTTTTTCATGAGGGTAAAAAAACTACTCAGATCATATACTTGCGTAAATGTATTAATTTACTGCAGCTTGAAAAATTATCTTGGAATTGATCAACAAGTAAATTTTTAATGTTGATATTTGCTTTTTTTTTTAATTGAAGGACAGACTAGAATATGATTTCCTAAAAAGAGGCCCAGCCTCATGATTCCGAAGGGTGTGGTGCCCTTTAGAAACCAATAGAGGGTGACCCTTCTCTTCATTTTGAAGAAAATGCCATTTATATCTAGAAAAGCTGTTTTGAAAAGACTAATAACATAGGTTGATTTTTTTCTAATTGACTTTCTAACAAAATTTATTTTATTAGCCAATATAGTTTTCTAATTTGCTAAATTCCCTTTAAAATTGTGGCTCCTAAACTTCTTCTTTTTTTTTTTTTAAAGATTTTATTTATTTATTTGACAGAGAGATAGAAGAGCACAAGCAGAGGGAGTGGCAGAGGGAGAGAGAGAAGCAGGCTCTGCACTGAGCAGGGAACCCGATGCGGGACTCGATCCCAGGACCCTGAGATCATGACCTGAGCTGAAGGCAGACGCTTAACCATCTGAGCCACCCAGGCGCCCCAGCTTCTTCTGATTTTTAAAAAACTTTACACTTTTAATTATCACAGTTTCATTTACAAGATGAACATCTAGGACACTTTACAGTGCACTTGCTAGCTGAACTCAGAATTTGATCAGGGCTACAGTATGACTTTTGTGGGCCCCTTCCTCTATAAAAACTTATTAAAAATCATACTGAGAGGGGCGCCTGGGTGGCTCAGTCAGTTAAGAGGTTGCCTTCGGCTCGGGTCATGATCTCAGGGTCCTGGGATCGAGCCCCATGTTGGGCTCCCTGCTCGGTGGAGAGTCTGCTTCTCCCTCTCCCTCTGCCTGCCTCTCTGCCTACTTGTGCTCTCTCTCTATATCTCTGTCAAATAAATAAATAAAATCTTAAAACAAAATCATACTGACTGATTTGGTATAGGGACAAATAAATACATAATAATGTAAGGTCTAATATACAACTTAATAGACATTATAACAATTTCTTCAACCAAAAAAATTCATTTTTCTTCTGATCTTTAAAAGAAATTAAAATACTTTTGTAGGCAATATTAGGACTCGTAAACACTGTACCCACTGTATGTAACAGATCGATCAGCCCTGAGTATGATGTGGGAAAAAAAAAGTAATCTTTTACTTTGCCTGATTTTGAGCCGAGAAAGGAAGGGGGTCTGCTGCACCAGAGTCACGTCTGGACCCTCCTGTGGAGTCTCCAGCCCTCTGCGCCAGACTGTCCCCCTTCTACTCACCACCTGGATCCTGGCCATGTACACTGGGCAGGGGGTTGCTGATGACAGCCCGGGCCTAGAATGTCCACTTTCAAAACTCAGTCTTTCAGAGAGTGTTCTAAACCTGTCTCTGTTTTTGATCCAGAATCAAGCTTTCCTTTGTCCTTAGATCCATCTGCAGAGTCAGCCTTGTGACCACGTACACCACCATGCAGATTCCCTTTTAACCCAACAAGGAGATTTTTACTTATTTTTTTACTTATGTCTGCATGGCAGAAATACATGGTCATTTTAATCAACCTGTCATTTGAGTGTGTGCTCGATGTAATACTAAAATGAATTTTTGCCTACGGTGTTTGGATATTTTGGACTCCAGATCTATATTTAGTGTATATGTATATATATACATATATATATAAACTTTATATGTAAATATATGAATAAACAAATACATATAAAACTTTCATTCTAAAAGGGAGATAAGTTAATGATTATTAAACAAATAATGCAGTCCAATCTTTCTCCTCTCTCTCCTCCTCCAAGTACCCCAATCCTATATTTATTTATATGTGCTGGCAGTTAAAGCAGGATGCAGGGCAACACAAATACGAAAGTATTTGTATGCTGAGATCTAAAGTTTGTAATGAATTCACTCAATTATTCCAGATACTTCTCCTTAATTACTTGGGGAGGTACATTTCCTCTCCCAACCAGTGTTTTCATATAAGTAAGTGTAAGTAAGATGTTATACCCTAAAGGGTTAAGGTAAGTCTTCAAGCGTGTAACATATGACTTGGCACAATGTAAAAAATGGTAAGAACAGAGTCAAATGTTTTATGATCCACTAGGTACTTTCGAATGTCTGGAAGATTTTCCTTGGCAGAAATAGTTTATACTAGCAATAAATGGGATCTCTTAGCTGGGTGACATTTACCTTTTCACAAAACCACTAACTGGGCTCTTCATGTGATTCTGGAGGGAGTTGCTACGTGACATCACCTGCCATTTTTCTCTAGTGCTAACTCTATGGAAATCACAGACTGAACAGAAGAGTAAATATCAATCACACAGGGGAGCAGCTATAATTACCAAAGACAGCTCATAAGATAGTGAATTTAGAAATTTAGCAAGAAAAATCAAATCATTATTTGATAGCTTGGGAAATTATTCAAAACAAGGTATTCTAGATTTAGTATGGTGTCTGCACACTAAAAAGTTAAAGGAAAAATCTCATGATGTTATTGTACTAAAAGGACAAAATGCCATTAAGCATCTTAGTTTCCTTGACTGGGATATCTATTTTGGAAGTATAACAGCAAATTAAATAGTGTTTTAACTTACTCTTAAGAAAAATGGAAATTTTTTCCCATAAAAGCCAACTCTGAAGAACTCTGGTTCAAGACGTTGCTGGTCCATAATTTTGTCATACAAAGAGGCTTCCATCATCTAGGAAAGCAAAGGAGAAGTTCTAAGAATTTCATCTCATCCTTCAGCTCTCCCTATTTATAGAAGAGTATGTTTCTTCTATACAAAGGAGAACTTCACTGTAGTTTTCAGTTTGCAGAAAAGAAGGTTTCACTCCCTTTCTGTGCCTTAAGGGAGGGAACAGCAAACTTATTCTGTAAATGGCCGGAGAATAAAGAGTTCAGGCTTTTCAGGCCATATGGTCCCTGTCACAACTACTCAGTCCTGCCAGGTCCACAGGATACAGGTTGCTGACCCTGCTTTTAAAGGATCAAATATTATTCCATGTTCTCACCAGAGAAAATAATTTCTACACACAAAGCCTATCAAGAAAGTATTTTCTTCACAATGAATATGAACATGAATTTAAAAAAATGAACGAACTATTAGAGGCCAAATCTTTCTGGAGAATTCTAGTGCCAGATGTACTCACCTGTGGATTTGGTTCTCCTTGGTCATGGTAATTCAGGACATGTGGAAGGTGCAAGCTTGCACAGGTTGGACAGGGATAAACCAAACCCAAGGAGACCCATCGCGCAAAGTGCTGTCTGGGCTGAAAGCTCTTAAGTGTGTCCCTCACAATGTTGGCACTATGAAGCACATAAAGCTTATGGTTTTCCATTCATGGTATTATCATCCCCAGGGTTTATGCAGAAAGACTAATACTGCTCTTGAAAACTTCTCCCCCCACCCGCCCCCAGTAACAGCACCCCAAAGAGCAGTTGGCATGAAATGTAATGCTTTGGGTTTATAAAAATCGGAGTGACTATGGTACCCAAGGGCTCTCCCAGGTAAACACTGTAACCTCGCTTCTGTTACAGGGGGTGTATGCCAAGAGAAGCACAGAAACGTTGTCATATAAAACTGCAGTGCCTGCCAGAGCCAGCATGATGGACTGAAGTTAAAACAAGGTGTTTTTTTTTTCTCTTTGGTTTTCATGCTGGGAGAAACATTGTTGAACCACTGGCATGAAATACTACACCGGCAGCACAGGACCAGTTCCTACAGGCTGAATGAATTACGTGTGGGGTAAGGGATTTTATGAGCTGTTAAGGGTTGACAATATCATCTCATAAACCACTACCTCAGAATTAAAAGGCAACATCATAATCTTCTTCCTATTTTAGAAACCCTGCAGAGCTTAAGTATGATAAGAGGACACAAAATGCTCATGGCTCTTAAGAGTAAGGGCTCAGAGTGCAAGAGCAACCCATTTGAACCTGAAAAGAAAAGAAGGGACAAAACGTTTGGCTCAGGGACACGGAATATTGAACTCCCGGAGCTCCTGGGTACTAAGACCTTGGTTCACGTTCAACGTAAAACACATTGCTGAAGCTAAGGAGAGATGACACCTATAGAATTTAGCCCTGAAACAGAAATGGGTCAGCTAGCCATGCCTACTGTTTTGCTGTGCAGATTATGGGACTAAGAATAGTCTTTTGTGGTACAGATCTGCATACAAGTGAGAAGCTCTTTGAACAGTGTGGAGATTTCTCCTCAATAAACTAAAAGAATTAATCATGGATTAGATTTTACATTTCAGATGTGATGTTTAGAAGAGATCAAAGGCTCACTTCTGTTTACTAATCAGAAGCACTTGCTATTTCTCTGTATAAATAGCTGAGTATGCTGCAGAGGAAAGACTTCTCTTAAAAAAGCTTTCTGCAAGACAGGTCGAGATGATCACAGAGTTAATTTTATAGAACGATACTGGAAAGTTAATGAAAAAAGGATGCCATTGCCTGATTAGCATGCATCCAGGTTCCTTACCCTCATCTTGCTCAGGTTTCTGTAGTCATAATAACTCTCATACTGCTCTGCAATCTTCCGGCACAAGATGATGCCGTTCTCCCAACACTGTGGACAAACGAATGATATAAATGCTGATGCCCACGACATTTACTTATTTTCACCCAGAGGTCAGGGTGGGACTGCTTTCAGATCATCAAGCCTTACTTCTTAATCTTTATAATCTACCTTTAATAGTATCACTACCACTTTAAGCTTGACAACAGCATGCAATGAACATGTAAATTATTAAAAATCCTTAGGAAGTGAGAAAATATAATCCACCACAACAGGCATTAACATATGGTGTGGAAACATTTTCCGGTGTCATTTCAGAATCATCATCTTGAAATAACTACAGTTCCACCATGGCCAAGTAGATGAATAAATGGGCCCTCGGTGCTAAGGAGGGAATTACCACTGACCCCTAAGGCCCAATTATCCACAGCTGGATTCCTTGCTTGGCTCAATTGCACTTGTAAATTGTGAGGATCTAACCCAGCTGGTTACTCTCAGCAGAAATGCAAAAATTCTTTCGTCTAGCCCAAGTGTCAGCAAACTTTTCTGCACAAGGCCACACAGTAAATAATTCAGGCTTTGTCACAACTACCCAACTCCACCATTAAAGCACAAAAGCAGCCAAAATGGATAAGCTTGTCTGTGTTGCAATAAAACTATCATCTAGGGACACTGAAATGTGAATTTCATGTAATTTTCATCTGTCAGATATTCTTTTCCTTGTGGTATCATTCAAACACTTAAAAATGTAAAAGCAATTCTTAGAATGTGGGCAGTACAAAAATGGTGGGTGGTGAGCCATTTGACCCAGGGGCCATAGTTTGTAACTCCCGATCTAAGCAAAAACCCCTTAGAAGGGCCAAGATAAGCAGAACCGGGATTTTATAACAACTTATCCTATAGATGGAAACTTCACCGGAGGAGGATGCAAAGGCATTTCCTTGCTATTAATGTAACAAATGATATGTCAGGGTATTTAGGGACATAATAAAGGAGGATAGGAAAGAGGCAATTTCCTTGCATCAAATTATGCAATTATATTTTGTAAAAGAATGACAGCAACTGTTTGTATTTTAGTCTCCTGTTTAACCTTGGCATTTTGAGAGATATATTTAAATCGAAGACACCAAAAGCATCCAAATGTTCAAATCAAATAAACAACTGTTGTCAGATTCTTAAGTCTTCCTAAAGGGTATTGCAAGACCTTGAAGAGGGAGATGGGGTGGAGTGAGGTAATGGGCTGAATGGCATCATCAAGTCAGTGAGGTTTTTTGATACCCCGTGGCATCTCTTAAAACTATGACGGGATGCCATAACATTCTTTAAACAAAGTTAGTTTCATTTATTTTGCCTTACCAAAAAAGTGGAATGGGGTGGAATGGGGCAGAATACATGCTAACCTGGGGAGGTAGGTGAGGGGTGATAATGGTTTTTCAGAGAATAGGATACCTGGGTGTCAAAACCTACGGACCAGTGTTTTTCAGAGTATAGCCCCCAATTTGTACACATTGCAATCTCAAGTCCTTGTTCAAGTCACAAAATCCCCTGCCCCATGCCAGACATGCCCAATGAGAATGTCCAGAGGTGGGACCTGGGAATTTCAGCAAACTCCTGGGTGTTTTTAATGCACATTAAAATCTGAGGGTGCCTGGCTTGAGGTGGGCATGAAAAAACTATAAATGAAAGGTAACATGACACCAGCAGACCACCTTGAGAGAGGCCGTGGGTGGGTAGGGCTACTTACTTTGCCTCGGTCAAAATTTTGGATGATAGCCAGGTGCAGGTGCTCCTTGCGCTGCCATTCTGTCTGCATAGGGTAGGTCAGGAACTCCCGGAGGGGCCGATCGGACCATTCCAACAGCTCATCGTATAACAGGAGAGTATATGCAGCCTCTGAAAGTTGAGTGGGAAGGCAATGATCAAGACAGGACCCCTGAACAGCCTCCCCTCCAATGTGGCTGGTTTGGGGCAAATTGGAAAAAATATTTTTTGAATTTCATGATAATGAAGAAAAATGTTCAGGATATATGCAAGAGCCAGTTAGTGAGTGATGACTTCCCCCTGGAAGATGGAATTATCAGAGATTTGTATTTCATCTTTTGGCTCCCTATGTTCATTCTTCCCCTCACTTCTCTCTTTCTCTTTCTTGCCTTCTCTTCCCATCCCTCTTCCTTGTTTCTACAATGCCTGTACGCTGCTGGCATAATAAAAATGTTTAAGGATATATTGTTGGAGCTTGTTCAAAGAAATAGGGAGACATGCCTTTGACTGTTGGGGAAGTTCACTGGTAAATCCCTTGGGGTGAGACTATGGGCATCTTCCAAAGGATGTGATTAGGAAACAAAAAATGGTAATTAAATTCTTTTTGATAATAAAAGCCTGAAAAATTTGAAAATAGTGTTTGGTGGCAGGGCTAGGGTATAGGCAGAATTTGGGAGGGACAAAGAAGCCAGAGAGGAGCTAAATACAGAGAAGAAAAAGAAAAAAAAAATCTAGTAACAGAGGAGGGATTAGAAAGGGCAGAAGTGTTGGTAAGAAGTGTGTGTGTGTGTGTGTGTGTGTGTGTGAGAGAGAGAGACAGACAGACAGAGACACAGAGAGAGACGACTATTGTGTGTTGTGTGGTATGACCCTCAATTGGCCCCACAAATCTTCAGTAAAAGTTACTTAAGTCATTACATGTTTGGTGCAGTTGGGATTTCTTGGGAGAACATGTAAAGAGGTAATATTCTAAAATATTTTTTTAAAAGATTTTTTATTTTTTTGACGGAGAGATAGAGAGAGAGCACAAGTAGGCAGAGTGGCAGGCAGAGAGAGAGGGAGAAGCAGGCTTCCCATAGAGCAGGGAGCCCGATTTGGGGCTCTATCCCAGGACTCCGGGCTCATGACCTGAGCCGAAGGCAGATGCTTAACTGACTGAGCCACCCAGGCACCCAAGAGGTGATATTCTGTATACACACATGGAAATAGTAATCCATAGGCTTAAGCACAGTTGACAGGTAGTGCATTTCATAGAGTACTTGCCATTCTGCAGGTCTCTTCCTGAATCTTAAATATGGCCAAACAAATCAATAGGAACCACGGTTCCATTGTCACTGATGAAGGACTCCAATAATTATTTTTTCCTTTAATATTAGAATAGCCAACTCATTTATTAAATGGAATAAAGTAGACAAACCCTTATGTTATTAATCCATTTAATTACCATCCCTGTATGTCTCTTAAAAGATGTAATAGTTGGCACCTGGGTAGCGCAGTCAGTTGGGTGTCCAACTACTGATTTCAGCTTGGGTCATGATCTCAGGGTCATGAGCTCCAGCCCCACGTGGGGCTCCATACTCAGCGCAGAGTCTGCTTGAAATTCTCTCTCCTTCTCCCTCTGCCCCTCCCGCTCGTGCTCTCTCCCTCTAAAATAAATAAATAAATCTTAAAAAAAAAAAAGATGTAATAGTAGCTTTTCACAAAATATCAATAAATAGTCATTCTTAATCTTCATTTATTTGCCTTAAGAGTAACTACACGTAAAGCTCTAAAGTGGCAGGTTAAGTCCTATTACTATGATTTGGCCATCTCAGTGTGTAAAATGTAGTTGTAGGAAGAAAGGCCTGGGTCCCTATCACTTTTCTCTTGCCTCTAACTTGTGGAAGTCCTGTGAGGCACAGGCTCTGGCCTTTTTTCTTCTTAATTACCCCTGGTGAGCTTAGTCTCCTGGCTTCAATAACTGCAAAAGCTTTCATACCCCACCAGCAGTCTCTTATTCCCCTCTGTTCAGTTTGCACATGGTTACCAGTATGATCTTTCAACTGCAAAGGATCATATTGCTCCCCTGATTCAAAGTAGCCGGTGACTCGCAGTAGCTAACAGTAAACGTAGGCTTCCTAAAGGGACAGAGAAGGCTGGCCATGATCTGGTCCCTACCAACCTCTGCTCACATTCCCCATTGTCCCTCCTCATAGTACACGTAAGAAGGAGCTCACCGATGTTTCTCCTAAGAAGCCTCCAGCCTCCCTGGTTGGAGCCCCTTGACCCCATCATCAGCTTTTGCTGAATGAAACAAGATGCATCCTGATCCGGAGGCAGCTGTACCAGAAAGCTGCCCAAACGGGGACAGAGGTACCTTCTGTTTTCATGGGCACTAATCAAATTCTATCTTGTCGCAGTTGTATGTGACACGGACAGAGGAGAGTATCGGCTAAAGGGTATTGGTTAATTGGCGGATGCAGAAACAGAGCTGAATTGCCACAATGCAGGTTGCCAAGGAAGACGGCTTTTGACGGGACAAGAATGATAATAATGACGGTCAAATCTGTGCTGTATCTGAACAGCTTTCTAGTTTTCTGAGACCTCCTGAGATGACTTCCTGATCTTTAACTCCCCACATATCCTTACAATAAATGCCAAGCATCTAAGAAAGCCCTCTGTGTGTCCTTGTTCCTCTGTCTGTGTGAATAATCCATGGTTCCCTTCATTTACCACATGGGTGACTCCTGCAGCATCTTACCGACCGCTCCTTCAAGCTTTGGCCCTGCACTGCTGAATAACTCCCTCTTCTCTTAATACACAGCTCTAGAATGATCACTTTTGTCTCTCAGATTTCTTTTGTGTCTCCCCCAGTACCCGACAACTCAAAAAATACCCTTGCGAGTAATCATCTCCTAGTGAAAAGGATGAAAAGGACCAAGCGAACCCCTTCCCCCGGCTGAAGCCTTCAGCTGCCCACAGGGAGTGACTGAAAGGGCCATGAAGGTCAAATTCACGGAGCCAGAAAGTAGAATGGTGGATACCAGGGACTGGGGGGAGGAGAAAATGGGAGGTTACTGTTTCATGGGTACACAGTTTCTGGAGATGAAAAAGTTCTGGAGACCGAGAGCGGGGATGGTTGCTCAACCATGGGAATCGTACTTCGGGCCACTGGGCTGTACACGTAAAAACGGTTAAGACGGTAAATTCTATGTTGTGTATATTTCACCATAATAAAAGAAACTACAAGGGTTGGGGGCAGTGAAGGGTTTTTAGTCCATCTCAACTGCTTTCCAAATCATGCTTGCCCTGGGGTGGTTCAGGGGTGAGACAGAAGATGAGGGGTGGGTGTGCCCCTGTGGAGTCTGGAAGGACAAGCAGGGATTGGCAAGCCATCAGAAGAAGCTGACCAATGACTGAATGGTGACATGGAAAGGTGTGGAATAAATGACAGCTGTCTCAGAATCTGATTCCGGAAAAGGATGATGTCTCTCAGGGGTCAATGGTGTGTGTGAAGGAAGCTGTAGAAACTTTACGTGAAAGCACATAGATATACCTTGGAGGCGTGACCGACACAGGAGACTACTGAGGCTGATTTTAAACACATTAGCAAACTGTAGATGTTTTATTGCAATACATCGGGTATTTATTCTTCTGCATCTTAAGAAGACAATAGTATGTATTGAAGAGGGAAGAATGAATCACATCCCAAATTTCCAGCCATCTTTTTAAAAAGTATTTAGAATTTTGGACAAAAGGCATCGCCGCATAATTAAACATGGGCCATCTCGCTCCATCATCTTGACAAGTGTACAGGGAGGACATCCACATGAGACAAGAAAAAACCATAGGAGAAGACTAGAGATGAATTAGGAATGGAGAGTACTGTCACAAAAGGCTGCAAAGGGTTAAAGCCATTTAAACAGAATCCTATAAAGATAGAAAAGTTTCCCCGTTAATTTCACTTTCTTCAAGGACACATAAAAATGAGGACAGAGGAGTGATGAGTAAAATGTTGCAGGGGAGGAGGACTTATTTCTTATGACTTTGGGGAACATAAATACCGCAAGTTCAGTAAACAAATTAAAGAAAAACTATTTGCCCATTTCTAAAATATAATCAGACAGATTTGGACTCTGTTTCAGAGAACAGTTATGTAGCTGGAAGAGCTTGTCCTTAGTTCCCTCCCTCATTTCTTCTTTAATGGACTTTAAAATAAGTCCACTAGGTAGTTTTCATAGCTATAAAAACTAGGCTCACCATTTCTCTCAAAATTTGGCTACTAACTACTATAAAAATAGTCATTTAAACTCTCAGACAACATACCTCCAAAATTTTAGTCTAACCAAAACCATCAACACATCTGTGTGAAGAGATACTGGGACTTCCTTAGTGACTCAGGAATATCAATATTGAAGGAGAAAAATCTCTGCAGGTCTTAAAATTTAACTGAGTAAACTTATTGGTGATGCATTTATTTAAATCTCATGTTGCAGGGGCACCTGGGTGGCTCAGTCAGTTAAGCATCAGACTCTAGGTTTCGGTGCAGGTCATGATCTCAGGGTCGTGAGATCCAGCCCAGTGTCAGGCTCTGCGCTGGGTGTCAGGCCTTGAGATTCTCTCTCTCCCTCTCCCTCTGCCCTATCCCCACTTGCGCACGTGTGCTCGCTCTCTCTCTCTAAAGAAAAAAAACTCACATTGCTGGGCACTGAAATGAGAAAACTAAGAAGAAAACATCATCTCTGTCTTCAAGGAATTCACCTTTTAGCTATCTACCTACATATACATACAAACACACACACACACACAAACACACCTCTTATATAACTGTTAAAAACAACGTGGTATTTTTTTTTTTTAAGATTTTATTTATTTGCGAGAGAGAGAATGAGAGACAGAGAGCATGAGAGGGAGGAGGGTCAGAGGGAGAAGCAGACTCCCTGCTGAGCAGGGAGCCTGATGTGGGACTCGATCCCGGGACTCCAGGATCATGACCTGAGCCGAAGGCAGTCGCTTAACCAACTGAGCCACCCAGGTGCCCCAATGTGGTAGGTACTTTAATGAAGCCTGAAAAAGGTGCAATGGAAAAAGAGTTGGAATCATGAACTCAGCCCATGGGAGAGGGGTGATGGGGGGGCATGGAGTTGCCGTGGGAAAGAAGAGGAAAAGAATTCCGGGAAAAGATGGTAAAAGCACACTCCCTGAAGGATGGAGACAAGGAATGTAGTCCAAGTGGTAAGATGAGGCTGCAGAGATAGGTGTTGGTTTTATTATGATGGACCTTGAATAAAGAGTTTGAACTTTTTTTTTTTTTTTTTGTAGAAGATACCAACTGAAAACAGTTATATCTAGAGAACGGGCTGGTGAAATTGTCTTAAAGGGCCAGACAGTAAAAACTTTATAATTATAATAACTTATAACGATTTATAATCTAGCTTGCAGGCCACATGGTCACTGCAACTACTCAGTTCTGCCTTTTGTAGGTACAGAAGAAGCCACAGACCATGGCCGCTTAAGTGGGTGTGGCTGAGTTCTAATAAAACTTTCTTCACAAAATCAGGTGGTTGGTCTGCAGGCTATAGTTTCTGTCCCCTGCTCTGGTGCTAATTAAGAAACAGCCCAGGTGTGAGATGATGAGGGCCTAATGGAGGCAGCTTGAGTGGGAACAATGAAAAGGACGTGGTTTTGAGAGATTGTTAGGAAGGGAAATCAACAGAACATGGTGACTGATTATTTGAGGGAGGCTCAGAAATACCAAAGAGAACATCAAGATCTCCACACTGAGAAAAGAGTGATGCTGTTAATCGATACAGTGAAACTAGCTGGAAGCATTATTTAAAATCTGGCCACACAAGGACCATCTCAGAAAGGATTGCTTTCTTTTAAAGCTGGAGGAAGGACCACAATTCAGGAGTTCCTGGGAAGAACGGTGAGGCAAAAGACTCAGATTTATAGTTCCTACATCCAGTTAAAGGGTTCTTTTCTGGTTACGATGTAGTGAGCACCTTGTATCGTATCTTCCCCAACTAAAAACCCTAGGCATGATATACAAGGTAACTCTTGGAGGATTCTGAAGAGTAAATAAGAGAAGGTGGGCAGAGTAAGAAAATCAATACTCAAAGAATGATCATAAAATAGTGAGTTCGCAGTTTTTATTTTTTTGCCTTTCATATCTCCTGGCTTTGCCGTCCTGGTCTCCTGGAACCACAAAGGGAAACGGAAAGAAAAGCTCCCAGGAAATTTCCTCTGGTCAGAGGGTTGAGAAGAGGACCCTTCTGCGGGATGGAGTCCTTTTGACCTTCTAGCCTCCCCCCAAGTCCTGGGAACATGGCACAAAGCTGCAGTGCACACAGGGAAGGCTTCACAGTGGAAGCAGAGGCATCTCCGGCTTTTTTATGTTCAGTGCTTGGCCCCCAGGAAGACCAGCTATAGGGAATGCATCACGGTGTGGGGAGGATCAAGTCTTGGATTTGACTAATTTGGCTCCGATTAAGTGAGAGTGCTAGGAAAAGGAGCCCTTGGGAGATAGGAAAAGTGAGGAAGATCATAGAGAGGAGGCACATAGAGAAAGGGATTTTTAAATGTTGTGTATGATGTCCTGGGCTCACTTGCAAGTTGCACGTACATTGAACAGACCAGAATCAACATAACAAAGCTTTTGAGAAATGAACTATGGTACAGACTCCTGGTTAGGTCCCAGGCTCTCCCTGGGTGACATATATGCGGGACAGACCAGAACAGTACGGCGAAGGCTTTGAAAATTAAGTGGACATTGGAATCACAACCTTCAGAAGGTGGTTTAGGACTTGAGGTTTGAATCTAACCGGACTGTCTGCTGAAATTAAAACAAAACAAAACAAAACCAAACCCCTCAACATTCTCCAGAAGGTTTTAACAGAACCCAGAGTCTCATAATATTCAAAATGTTCATGAAACAACCCCAAATGACTTCAAAGAAACAGGATAACTGAAAAGTTTCAAAGGGAAAAGTCAATTAACAGATGCCAATCCCAAGATTCAGTTGTTGGATTTACAGATAAATACTATGAAGCAGCTATTATAACCATGCTCCTTAAAGTAAAAGGGAACACTCTTGAACAGAAAGATACAATTTCCCTCCAAAGAAATGGAAGCTAAAAAAAAGAAAAGAAAAAAAGCAAAAATGGGAAAGGAAATTTTAGAAACAGGTGATACAGTAACAAAAATTAAAATTTCACTGGAAGGGCTCAGTAGCTGAATGGAAATGGCACAGAAGAATCTGGACTTGCAAATGGACCAGTAGAAATTACCTAATTTGAACAAGAAAGAAGAAAAATTGGGACAAAAAATGAACAGATCCCCAAGAACTTACAGAACAATACCAAAAGGCCTAACATTCATGTCCCTTCTAGTTCCAAAAGAGAAGGACCAGTGCAGAAAATACATTTGAGGAAATAATGCCTGAAAATTCCCAAATCTGGTGAAGGAAATAAGTCTGTAAATTCAAGAAACACCATGGACCCAAACAGGATAATCTTAAAGAAAGCCATGCCCATATACATCATAATCAAACTGCTGGAAACCAAAGATAAAGTCTTGAAAGCAAGCAGAGAAACTTATACATTACACACAGGGACACAATTTAGATGACTGTGGAGGCCAGAAGACAGCACAGCAACATTTTTCAAATACTGAAACAAAAGAACTATCGAACTAGAATTCAATATCCAGCAAACGTATCCTTCAGGGATGAAGGCAAAATGAAGACACTCTCCGATGAAGGAACACAATGAGAAATTCTTCACTGCTAGATCTACTTTTTTGTTGTTGTTTTGTTTTTAAAGATTTTATTTATTTATTTAAGAAAGAGAAAGAGAGACAAGGAGAGGGAGAGAGAATCCGCAGCAGACTCCACACTGAGCACAGAGCCCAGAGCCCTACTTGGGGCTTAATCCCACAACTGTGAGATCATGACCTGAGCAGAAATCAAGAATCAGCCGCCCAACTGGCTGAGCCACGCTGGTGCCCCTCACCACTGGATCTTTTTTTTTTTTTTTTAAAGATTTTTATTTATTTGACAGAGAGAGACAGCGAGAGAGGGAACACAAGCAGGGGAAGTGGGAGAGGGAGAAGCAGGCTCTCCGCGGAGCAGGGAGCCCGATGCGGGGCTCGATCCCAGGACCCTGGGATCATGACCTGAGCTGAAGGCAGACGCTTAACAACTGAGCCACCCAGGCGCCCCACCACTGGATCTACTTTAAAAGAAATATGAAGACAAGTTCTTTAGGTTGAATAAATACAGTAACAAAGAGGAACTGAGAACTTCCATGAAGGAAGAAAGAGCAACACAAACAGTAAATATATGAACAAATTTGACAGACTATTTAATCCTCTTAAATTCTTTAAAATAGGTATAACTGTTAAAGTAAAAATTACTTTATCCGGTGGGGTTTTCAATGTATGCACACATAATACGTAGGACAACTACAACATAATGTTATTTAACTTGAAGTGGTAAAATACCAACTGTAAGTATGATGAGCAGTGAGATATGTATTTTGTACTCCCAAAAGCAACCTCTAAAAAACAATGCCAAGAGATATAGTAAAAAAGCCAATAAATTAAAATGAAGTACCTAGAAACATAGATCCAACTAAAAATTTCAATTTCAAAGTACAAATGCTTGAGTCCTCAGCTCTAATTATCCAAAGCAAAGGAGTGACCATGTATAATACACCAGTGTCCAGCCCACTCTCCTCAGCCTGAGCCAAAAGACAGAATTACCTGTGAAGTTTTGCGCTTTGAGATGCAGATCATAGAGTTTGTGGATGTAGCGTATATACATCTCTTCCTTGTTTAGTTCAGTCTTATAGAAGTTCTGTAAAGAAGAATACAAGTACGGATCATTCCTCAACAGTTAGACCTGCAAACAGCTGCTTTTTACTCTGTGAAGTTCCGTGTCTGGAACTATAAGAATGGATGTATTTTTCCATATAAATGTCTTTTTAAAAATTAAGGAAGGAGGCCCAGTGATATACTTTTAATGCAACACTGTGTTAAACATTACTTAGCAATTATTGGATAAGCTCGTAATACTTGGGGAGTGTTACTGCCAGTGACTCACATTTCTTTGGTACTCTATTATTTTTTTGTTAGTGTTACTGCCTATTCAACTAAAAAAATACTAAAAATAACATAACAGATGAATCTGCTTACTAAACCTGAGCACCGATATTCAAAGGATAGCTTAATTTCAAATTGTAAACATATTTGCTCTGAAGAAAAAAAAAGTTTCTAAGATCTATAGGTAAGGATGAATAAAAATAATGTAAAAGCATTTTTTCTTCCCCTGAAGAATCACATAAAAGAGGGTAAATGAAAATGCTCTTTATTGGTAAGGTATTATTCTGAGTTTCTTACTTGTGTTGGAGTTTCAAAATCTCCAGTAAAGGGATTATTAACAAGAGATTTCAAACTATTATTAGAGGGGCATGCTTATCGAAGATATTTTATTTTTAAAAAAGTATCTGGATCTTACTAACCTTCTCTAAAATGTTTTAACATTAGTTATGAAAGATTCAACTTTGACATACCTGGACACATTATGTTGGCTCTTTAAAGCTGTAAGCTATAAACACCCACACGTACTCCTTCACCACATCCTACAAAGTACCTTAGCCCTCACTGAACTTAGTAAACATAGGAACAAAAACGTACATGACATTAAGTTCCAGCAAAAGCAGGATGTCGTGAGGTTCTAAATGGGGCACTTATTGTTAGCAGATCATTGTGCATTATGAAATCGCTGCACAAGCCCTCTGAACTGTTGTCACTGTTGTTGACTGATCCTCGCTGGTATGGGGAAGAAGGGAAAATGAGCAGTGATAGGGGGATAAATCCAGTTGACCTGAAGGAGTGACAGGTTTTCCTTAAGGGGGAAAGACCAGGAATTCTAAAAATCTTTGAAACTGATTAGCTAGACAGGGCTCTGGTGATGAACCAAAGAGCCAATGTGGTTGCTTAACTTGCACTTGGCTTCAAGCCTGCGGACCTTCTGTCAAATGTACCTTCTGTCCACTACCTAATAGTGTCTGTTCTTCAATATGAGAACTCTTATAACCTTGAGACACTGACATTTAGTTGAATGCCTCATAGATTTTTTTCTTCCAATTTATACCATTATCCTCCCCCTTTTCCTCTTGTCTCCTATAGATCTTGGCATTCCTTAAAAATCTAAGTAAATAATGTTATTCACATCTCTCTTACTATGAACAAAATCATTTTAATTAGCAAGATTTGTTGTACTATAAACACAAGTCTAACAACCCCACAGCAGACTTTTTACTTTGCTTTAATAGCTTTCTGGTAAGAAGCAGCATTTTTGGGGAACAAAATAAGCGATCACTCTGTAAGTGAATAATTCTCCTTAAAAAAAAAAGAAGAAACATCTCTCCAGTCAGCAGATGAGAATTTTTCACATATGTCTGGCAAAACTTGTGACACAAAGAACAAAACAATAATTGCATTTCCTAGTATGAGTCATGTCAAACATTATGCATTTTGACCAATTTAACACTACAGTTTAACTTCAATCTTGTGAAGGAAGCCAGAGCTCTCCTGAAGACAACCTTGAATTAATCTTTCCAAAGAGTTAAGGAAAATCTCTAAGAGGAAGTGAGTAGCTGAAGACAACCATATTACTACTGGAAAACATCAAGAACTTTCCATATGGACTAGAAGCTAAAAAGATTAGCTTCAAAGTTACATATTTGGCACTTTGATAATAAGCATTCTTGTGCTAGTTTGAAATTAGAACAGCTTTCAAAATGTTAACATTTTCGGGGCACAGGGGTGGCTCAGTCCGTTAAGCACCTGCCTTTGCTCTGGTCATGATCCCAGCGTCTTGGGATCGAGCCCCGTGTCGGGCTCTCTGCTCACTGGGGAGCCCGCTTCTCCCTCTCTACCTGCCTCTCCCCCAGGTCATGCTCTGTCTCACTCTCTCTCAAATAAATAAATAAATAAATAAATAAATAAATAAATAAATAAAATCTTCTAAAACAATGTTAACATTTTCTATAAAGACTGTTCTTGGTCAATGCAAAGCCAAAAGGATAAATTCTTTGTGTCAAGTGAATCCTGCTGGGGCCACTGATTTTATTAGGTCTCTGGCTGATTCCTATGGGGGACTACACATATTTCGGGCAGAGCATTCATTCTGTCATCCAGGGAAATGATCTCTTCTGTTACGCCAACTGAGGAAATGAACCCAGAGTCTGCATGTACCTGTTTACCTCCACACAGAAGGCACTGTGGCAGAAGATGGAGACAAGGGAAGAAGGTTCTTCTGGAAAAAGGTCAAGGTTATCCTTTGAGGTTATTTATGCAACTCTGTGGCCAGCGTTGGGGAAAAGCTGGGGTTAAGCAGATGGACTAAGAAGACTGAAAGCTCACAGAGCACTTGGTTCTTCTGCCCAAACACTGATGCACAGGTAGGGACACAGAGGCAGCTCAGGCTGAGGATCTCGAACGTGGTAAAGGGCTGGCAGTAGCAGACAAGACAGTGGGGAAGACTTAATAATGACGACGTTTGAGGTTAGAAATGAGGGCTCAGAGGGGAGGTGAGTGGGCTGACCTTGTGAGTCTGGCCTGGGGGCCTGAGGTCACTGCTGGGTCTGATGACAAAAATTATGTCAGAAAGCGCACCACAAGATGGGGCTGGATAGAGGACTCTCGAGTCTCACTATTTTTAGTGACCGAGTTTGGAGGTGGGGATGTGGGACAAGAGTTCAAAATGTGGAACAAAAAAATTTAAAAAAATAAAGAAAAGAAAAGAAAAAAAAATGTGGAACAATCAGTGGGTGTGGTAAAGAAGGACACAGGCATCTACTCGGAGGTGAAGCAGAGTGCAGTGAGGACACAAATTAGGGAAACTGATAACAAGAGAGAAGAAGTCCTGAGCTTTGACAAGGGGCTGTGAGGGGAAGAGACAGAACAGACTGGAAAGACTGCAGCCGGTGAGCTAGGACAAGACAGATGAGGGTGGGGGCAAAAGACACTTCCACGGTGACAGCAAAGAGAGACCAGCAGGGCATGTGAGCGATTCCAACAATTAGAGTCAGGAGAAGAACGTCTGTACCAGTACTTAGAATAGCTGATGAAGTTTCATCTATTCTGCAATATGAGAAAAAGAAACCATGGCACTCACAAATTTAGACCTGGAAGCAGTCACATATTCCTGTATTTCATATCTGACTAAGGGAAACTTTCAAAGGCATCAATATACCCTATATATTTACATATATAGGGTATATATATATATATATATATATATATATATATATATATATATATGAATGTCTCTATGTATGGTCATTCTTTAGTTCTGTGGTGAGAATACCATCCTTTTTATCAGTTAGTGATGAGACATTTTCATACAATTTACTTTTCCAGGACAATTGTGGTTTAGCCTGTCTTCCTTATGTAATATTTAATTTTACTCCTAAAAAATGTCCTCTTTGGGTGATCAATTATATGGTCATCGCAGTTATAATGCAAAACTTCACAATAATGGTATTAGACAATTTGCAAACAAGCTAGAGAGTGAAAATTAGTATGTTAAACAGAAACTGTCATTTGTTCACAGAAGAAGAGATGACTAATATTCATTAAAATGTAGAATGAATATAAGAAGGACAGAAAGAAACTGTCTATACAGAAGTAAAAAGACCTCTATCTGGGGACATGGTGCCTTCTTCTAGGAAAGCCACAGAAGACTCCCCGATGGTAAAGCTCCACAGGAGAGGAGGGGGCATTGCTCTCTGATCTCACAAAGCCTCAGGGGATGCAGTGCGTGCATTCTGCAATGTTCGCAGCTGAGAATTTTCTGGGACTTAATTCAACCTGAAGCTTGCTATGCTTCTTTTGAAAACACTTCCAAGCTCTTCTAAGAAACAGCCAGATAAAAAACACATTGTAAACTAAAAACAAACAGTATTTCTGTGAAAAATCAAACGTTAGGATAGAAGGAGGAAAAGGGGAATAGTTTACTAACCAGAAGGCTAACTGTGCAGCCAATCTTTTTGCCATCTACCTCTCCCATTTTCATGCAGTCCCTAAAAACAAAAAGCAAGAGTCAGAACTCAGAACTTCCTTATTAGGGACAAACACAGTTTCGTCTGGGGGAGGGGGGGTGGGGAGTACTGTCAGAGACCCGAGGCAAATCGCAAGTTGCTGTTGAGAAGGAGGCTCTGGGGACTAGGGGAGTGGCCCTAGGCTGTAGGATCTCAGGTGAGACCCTCCTGAGCACCAGTTTCTGCGGCGCATTTCCCTTGCCTGTGGGCTCTGCTCCCTCTCAGTAGCGTGGGGCGGGGGTGGGGGGGGGAGGTGGGGGGGTGTGGGTGGGAGAAGGTGGAGTGAAGATGTGTTCTTATACACCTTCTTCCAGAGAGGTGGGAAATAGCTGGAAGCCTGGCCATCAACAACAAGAATGAGGGTTTCATTCTTAAAAGAAAAACACCATGCATTTAAGTGGGATGAACTGCTTTAACAGTTGAGCTAATTTAAAAAATCAAAAAATTAGGTCTATGAAAGGTAACAGTGTGCGCTTCGCACCCCACCCCCCCTTTCATAAGAAAGCAGCCTGACCGTACAATTCTCCGTAACACCGTCTTCACCCTAAAACGGAAGGATCTACTGGTTCTAATGGCTGAGTCTAAACACCAAAAAAGATCCCTTTACTCATGGGACTCTGAGAACCTTCTCAATTCACTCAGACTTTGAAAGAATGGTCCACCGAACAAAAGAGAGAAAAAGGGGCAAAAATCAACTAAAAACTCAGAGCCAGCAAGTTAGAAGTCCATTATCTTACTGCATAAGGTTCTGTGGGCTGATGATTAACTCCAGCGGGAAGTTGACTGGATCCTAACTCTGATTTCCCAGCTGGAGCGCAGCACTCCTGGGAAGCAGGGGACTCCGCTTACCTGTAATCTAACAACCTCTCCATCAGACGAGTTACAGTGGCAATTAATGAAACGCCACTTTCCCTCCATGTTTCCCGCTCAATTTTCTTTAGTAGACTGGAAAAGAAAGAACCCAGGGCATTTTCAACATTTATTTTTATCAGTCACCATGACAACCATCTTACTTTCATCAGTACCTTAAATGCCTTAGCAACCACTGCAACATCTCACAAGTAGCACGATTTACACACAATGTCTTACCTAGGATAGGGACCAAATAGTGGAATTCTAATCCAGGAAGCATTGACAAAGCAAATTGATTTCAGATTATCCAAGTCATAAAACACGAACACATGCATATGATCATATTTTCAAAATATACAAGCACCCCACAGCTCAAAGGCATTCTCCCCTAGCTTCTCTCTTACACTAACAGAGGCTTGAACCTTACCACAGCAAATAACACCGCGAAAAGCGAAAACAGGAGTACCTCTAAGTTTACTTTGAAATAAGATCTTCCTGTTATTCACATAAAAATGTTTTCCTACCTCTCGGTAGAATGCATCTTCATCCAGGCAATTTTACTGCAATGCAACTGCTAGAGGAAAATCCTTGTACAGACGGTATGACGTTTTGCGTTTTTTCCTTTCCCTTCACATTTGCCCACTCAATACATATTGTACTATCTGTGCACTCACTCAACAGTTTCATTCATTTTGTCATTAATCACAGGGGATTGTCTATGTGGTTGTTAGAGCAGATTGATGACAAGTACCGAACCACATCTCTCCTCCTATATTTTCCCTAATCTTAAGCACCTTGGAGCAGAAGAACTATGTAAACACAAAATCACAACAATCAGAATAATTAGGATCTGTTTGACTTTCACTCCTGCCTCTTGGCAAATTAAGCATACACTTGGCAAAGCCTTTATCACTGAACTTTCCCCAAAAGATAAAAGTAAGAACACAGGCATGGCAATGTGAGGATCCTTCCCCACCCCTCTGCATTTAATGATCTTTTCTGTCTAAAATCTTGTTTCCCTTTCATCTTGGTTTCGGGAATAACAGAGAAAACATTTCTCACAAGTACAATCTAAGCCAATCATATATTGTGCTTAAAGGAAAAATAAATATTAAAGGAAAAAGCTGTTCTGCCAAAGCTAGCTAGCTTGCTTCCTTCCTTCCTTGCTTCCTTCCTTTCTTCCTTTCTGTGGCTAGGTTCTCTCCCAATTTCCCTCCCCATTTCTTCTCGGTGTTGCCATTCCAGCACCCAGCCTTCTGTCTTGTCTCCTCATCTGTTGCCTATGCATCCCTGAGCATTTGTTTCCTGGTTTATTCTGAACTGCTTCCTAGATTAAGTGGGGGGAGGGAGGGAGAGAAGCTGTACACCATGGGATGGAGCCCACCCTGACTAATCTCCTGGGGAAGGTCCCCTAGTTTGTTTAAAATGTGTTTTCTTTTAAGAACCCTCTGAACAGCACCTGTTTTGAGCTTAAATGCCAAACTGGTATTGAACCAAGTACTCAAATGCAAATCTGCCTGCCAAAGCAATGCAGGATGATGTAGAAATTTCCCCAAGTGACAGCCCACACCTCATATACTTTACAGGCTGAAAAACAAAGAACTCAAGTTAAGTAATAATTCTAAAAATATATGGAGACTTCTTTTGTGGGCATGAATTTCATTAATTTGCACAGCCTCCTGATGCAGTAAGAAATCAGAGCTACATAAACCCTCTTGTAAGAAGAGGCACAATTCTGCAGAGTCCGCTTAACCTTGACTAATCCCAGACCCAAATGTTAGGACCAAGTCTAGAACCCAATTCATCCGCTTTCACAGCCAGGCTTGTTCTTTCAGTCGGGAAGCTTGTTCTCCCAGTTTAACTGAGAAGGGGAGCCTGTCAGAAAGAAGAGAAGAGTCTAGATAACTTCGGTGAGACTGGGTGTTTTTATTTGGTCTATAATCATGCCCACGTGCCCATGCTGAGTACACAGTGAACTCATCCAGTAACAGTAAAGGGTGATTTCTTATTGCTAGTTGATAGGCAATGGGCCTCCATAACACTGGAGAGCAGGATAAACCAGAATCCTATAGGATGGCATAATGCTCAGCAGGCTCTTACTCTGTGAAAAAATATTAACAGGGGGAGGTAGGATCTGACCCTAAATCTGCTTCTGTCTACATCCTCATGCAATGTTGTTGAGGCCATCACTCCTACACGAAACACCTGTGTCTGCCCATGCTCTTCTTAATCCAAAGAGTCGGACACCTGAGATCTGTGTCGCATATCCACTCTAAAATTAAATGTGTGATCGTCAAATAAAGACCTTTGAAATGACTTGGAGTCTTATTTAATTATTTAGAGCAACACATGAGAAAGAAGTGCGAGGGATGGTGGCTCTTCTGGAAAGTGCCCTACTGTGTGCTCCCACCGCACAGTCACTGCAGGGTCCCCAGCCCTAGGAGAGTACCTGACCCAGGGAGGTGCTCGGTAAATAAAACCAAACGAGTGAACCCGAGCAGAGCCAGGGGAAGCAGAATTTAGTTCTGACACTCTATGCTGGAGATTTCACACTGGTGTCTATGATCTACAATTGCAGCATTATCAAAAATAATAAATCCTGACTCGTACTTATTCAAAAAGATGGAGTATGGGTCCGTGAAGATAATGTTGGGGGTGGGGGTGGGGAAAGGTGAGCAAGCTCTTAGGAAGGAAACCATTGCAACTCCTACATGTTCAGGAAGCAGGAAGCTACTTTCAGCTTCTGGACAATTTGAAGAAGTTTTCGATATGAACGACAGAGAACAAATGAGAATCTGTACCATAACGGCATGTGTTCCTAATTCATAACGTGTGCAGTGACTCACTGTGCTTATACTAATTCACGGTGACTTCTATAGCCAAAGAAACATTTCATTGTTTCCTGAAATATAGTTAGCTTTTCACTTTCTTTTCTGAGCCCAGGTAGTAATGGTATTTAATTATCACTTTAGGTTTTATTTAATCCCAGTATGCTGATGAGAAAAGCATGAAAGAAAAATATTTATAGTAACCTTTCTAATAATATGCTAAAAATCACAAAAGAAAAATAATCTCCATTGAACGAATCAGGCACCTTAAAACAGTCTTAACTACAGAGGCTTAATATATTAATTACTGGTTTGATTCTAATGTCAAGGTACATCTTCTGTTTCAAAGCCCCATTTATACACAAGCAATCCAAATTGCAAGCTATAGGCCTTTATTAAAGTAGATAAGAGGCACTATAAAATGATATATTTATTAATCTTGTGAATTTATTATAAATAATTAATCACAAATCTCAAGAGATTCATTTCACTGAGTGCTTTCTCATTTTAGTTCTTTGTTCAAACCAAGGACTAATAACTGAAATGAGAGGAGTTTTCAAAGGCAATTTATTACACTAGATGAGGTTTTAATCAGAGTTCTTGCTAAACTCTAGCTGTCATGAAACACAGACGCTTTGTATACTAGACTGAACGAGGGCTTGGTGAATAATTACTAAAAGTTCCAGTTTAATTACAGTATCAGAAGAAAATGGTTTTGTTCAGGAGTCAGTACAAAGAATGTATTTTATCATCACCCACCATCATTCCAAGAAATCTGTATACCCCTTCTTGGCTTTTCCTTTGAATGTAATTTTCTTAAAAGGTTCAGGGATGATTTTGAATCAGGCAATTTGAAACCTGTCAGTCACTAATAATACTTTCTAAACCTGGATACTAATATATCTACTTTTCTAATTTAATGATCATAAAACCAAGTATACAACTTGGCATTTGGCTATCAGTTCTGAAGCATTCATAGTTTGAAGTGACGCTTGGGCACACATACGAGGCAGAGCATACTCTGTGACAGAAAAATGTATCGCTGAATGATTCCTATACTTCCGAAAGAATTGCAAACATTTTCCAGGCACAATGAGCTAGTCCTGCCTTCAAAAAGAAGCACTTTATCAATATACTAGGACTGAAAGTGGCTAAGATCCATAGAAAACTGTAGAGAAAACAAGTGTTGGAATTCAAACCCTAACGTTCTAGAACACTCTTACATGAACTCTCTGACCATCTCACACCGTGATGAAAACTTGGGATAAGCCATTCACCCTGGACTGCGATCACATTCTATTAGGAAGGACAACCTCAAACTCCCCTTAAGTCTGTTGTTGTTCTAGCTTCCATCCAAATCCAAATCACAGAATTTACTAAAAACAACTTGCTTCTGTGATATTCTAATAAGAACATTTAGAAAGCAATTACTAACGCTGAGTGAGCAATCAATATCCATGAATCAAATCAAGTGCTGAAAAACAGATGCCAGGTAGGTTAATTTCCCCATCAACAAATCAGCCAAGGATATCCTGCTTTGGAAAGCATTGCACACGAACACCATAATCACACCATTGTACCCCCCCACACCCCGCCCCCTTTTCCCACTCTTAACCCCTACTTAAAATCATTATCTTGCAGGGCGCCTGGGTGGCTCAGTTGGTTAAGCGACTGCCTTCGGCTCAGGTCATGATCCTGGAGTCCCTGCATCGGGCTCCCTGCTCGGCAGGGAGCCTGCTTCTGCCTCTGACCCTGCCCCCTCTCATGTGCTCTCTCTCTCTCATTCTCTCTGTCTCAAATAAATAAAATCTTAAAAAAAAAAAAATCATTATCTTGCAGCCCCAGCTTTAATACTTAGGCTTGAAAAGAGTGAGATTTGTTACAGAACACAAGTGACCTGAGCTAATCAGAGATTAAAATAAGGAGACGGGTCTAATCATCAACATAATAAGATCCATTCACCAGAGTTAGGCAATTATCCTTTATTTCACACTCCACAAAGACAAAGCACTCCTGTGAGACCCAAGCTATCTTTGCAGCTCTCAGCTGCCCAGGACTGACACCAAATCCTCTGAATGGAATCGACTGGAGATACACGTATTACTCACATACTGTTGAAGAGCTCGCGGTATGTTTCATCACCTTTGCCTTCGGACATCAGGCTATCCAGCTTGTCAATTAGCTTGGCTTCCACCTGAAACATACCCAAATATTACTCCCTTTCCTCCCCTTCACAAGTGGGATCTCTAGGCAAACCGAAACGTATTTATATCTGCAAGGGAAAAAAACCACAGTAAATTTTGTGAAAGCAACATTATCATAAGCTGTGGTTAATAGCAGACACCCCCTTGGAATTCTAGGGGGCTAACTGAGATGGAGCAACGTGACTTCAAACTCCCAGAGGGGTATCATTTGCCGCCACCAAAGACATCTATTTGTTGACTCAAACACAAATGCTTGCAGCCCAGCTTAAACATTTGAATTTTTTTAAGAGCTATAAAAACTGGCAAGTCTACTTATTTATTTATTTTTTTAAAAATCACTAGATGTGTAAGAACAGTAGCAAAGTAACATACCCACTGACATTAATTTAAATCTTTGATGTGTTTTGTATCTATTTTCTTTCTCAAAACAGTTCGAGGTTGCACTAAATCTTTGCTCAAGTTGAGAACTTGCCTTATCCATGTACAGATGGTAGATCCATAGAAATAGTCTAAGTCAGCAATAAGCTACATGAGAGAGAAGGGACATATTTCCCAAAAAACTGCAGTCAAAACATTTGTATCTTCAAGAATGTAAACTCCTTGGGCCTTGACTATCAGGCAAGCAGAAATATCCCTTCATCTATCTGAGGCAGAAAGACAAAAAATCAAACACCCCTGCATGGTCAGAGAGAGGTAAGCTACTACAGATTGGGAGGGATATTTGACTTTGTCAAAGGACTAAGCTCAGTTATTCCTTTGAACCAAATTCTAATAAGGCTATGAAGACCAAAGGGAAGGAGAGCGGGTCCCCCCCATGCACGTACAATTTTAAAATAGCCTTCCATTCAGTTATTAGCTTTCTTGAAATGAGATATCAATACAGGTAAAATGCCATGCTTCTGCAGGAGGAGGGTTCTGTGTATGCACTCAGCTCGCTCATAGAGTTGATAATCATTCCTAAAATTTGAGAAAGCCCTTCATTTGGAGAAGCATGAAGTGGGGGGGGAAGCAGATCCTTCACACAGATGACTGAGTACAGGTCAGTGAGGTGACAATGCGAACAGAAAGAAAGCGACTATCTCCAACTTGAGTGACCTGGCGTGGCAAAAGCAGCTGATTTCTTATGTAATCTGGTTTTGCAATAAAAACATCTATTCTTTCCAAAACTGGAGCAGAGCAATCAGAACCTATGTCAATGAGAAATAATAGGCTCATCCAGGAATCTAGATGCAAGAATTTCCACTGCTCTCTGGTTTAAATTAATTATCAACACTTCAAGCAAAAAGCAATAAAACATACTGTGCATCAAACGCTCAAAACCTAGCCATTCGCCAGGAGCAATGTGCAGACCACAGAGAGGTCAATGATTTTAAGAATCATTAAGCTTCTGATTCCTCCGTGTTGTGTCTGACTGGGAACAGAACAAGTCCCTGCCAGCTCTTCAGCAGAGACCCCGGAAATCACAGAATTTTTCAGCAGAAAGGGATTTTAGAGCTCCCCCAGAGGCTCAGGGGAACATAGGACTGGAGAGGTGACCAAGGCCACGGGAATGGGAGAAGGCAGGCGAGGCTAGAATCTAAGTCCCTTGACAGCTGGCTCGGTGCTCATTTCCCAACTCGGAGTTGAATCTGGTAGCTCAGAGATGCTCAAGGAGAAATGAAATTCTCCCCAACTGCTCTGAGAAGCTCATCCGCCTACCTGTTTAAAATTGCCACTCCGCCTCTGCTCCCAGTCCATCATATCATGAAAAATAGGAATCATGACATTCCGGAGATCTGGCTGGGGTATCAAGGTCACTTCTAGGAAAGGGCCAATCAAGGCAGGAATAAAATGAAGCTTGTGCTCTCCTAAATTGAATAAAACATTTGAGTTTCAGTATATTTAATCTTAGTAGGATTTCAGAAAATTAATATTATTAAATTTATTATAAATGATTGCCACAAGTATATTCAATTATAGTTGTCTCTCCAGGCAAGAAAGTATTTCCCTAAGCAGATACATAAACAATGAATTTCCATATGTTAATATTTCTCCATCATTTTTTATGAAAAAACTGTGGATTTACTTTTTCACAATTTAACAAAAAGCTCTAAGATACCATGAAAAATTACACCACAAATTAAAAATGACAAATTAAAATTATACCAAAAGTTAAATCATCGGGAATTGGTTATGTATACTCTTATACAGTCACAAATCAAAATTTTTCTGCAGTCACTAAAACTGAGGCTTAGGAAGGATAATAGGCAAAGCTTTTCGATAGAATTGAAAAAGCAAGGTACAATACAGTATGGACAGGTACCTCTTATGTTAAAAAAAAAAAAAATCTATATATAATAGTCAAGAAGCTTATATCCCCTAACGTTAACCACGAAGGTTATCTCTGGGTGGTAAGAGTCGAGTCGATTTTTTTTTTTTAAAGATTTATTTATTTATTTGAGAGAGCGAGAATGAGAGAGAGAGAGAGAGAGAGAGAGAGCACATGAGAGGGGGGAGGGTTAGAGGGAGAAGCAGGCTCCCCGCCGAGCAGGGAGCCCGACGCGGGACTCGATCCAGGGACTCCAGGATCATGACCTGAGCCGAAGGCAGTCGCTTAACCAACTGAGCCACCCAGGCACCCCGAGTCGATTTTTATATATGAAAAAAAGTGGTCCCTGCATTGTACAAATTTTCTTATGTTTTTAAACATAATAAACACACAGCCTAAATAAAAAACTAAATGGTAATCCAAAAAAAGGGAATGTGACAATTTTCTAAAAAGATTACACTTTAACAACAGTGAACTCGAAATGGTGTATTACCAAAGTACACAAAGTATGGTGCTGATGCTTCATTGAAAAGGAAGGTAGAAGGTAGGATGGGCACTGATGATTTCATCTAGTAGATGAGTGTCGCGTTCCATCCATTACACTAATGGTCTATGTTAAATATCAGAGTTTTACTTTGATAATAAGAATACTGCATGCAATGGAAAACACATTACTTTTCAAGTGCTAACCTTGAGCATTGTGGCTGAAAGCATACGACACTTAAAGCATCCATTTAAAACCCATAGAACAGGTTGGGAAGCTGGGCAGAAGAGAGCTGGCTTCATGATTAAGATAGTTTCCCCCCTTATTATTCTTTTCTACCTCTGATCTTTTAGTAGGAAGGGTCAAATACACACAAAATCATATCGTTCAGAGTTACTGGCACATTTTGGAGTTACATACCTTCACATTAATTATCAATTTCTCTACTTTGTTTTCTGTACTAGGAGGCATTAGGGTGGCCAAAGAGCTCAGACGTATACAAATCCAGGGTACAAATATACTGTTTATGTTTATATTGACTTTAGAGGGGATTTAATTTTTTTATTTAATTTTTTATTTTATTTTATTTTTTAAGATTTCATTTATTTATTTGAGACAGAGAGAGAGAGAGAGCACGCACAAGGAGGGGCAGAGGGAGAAGCAGACTCTCCGCTGAGCCAAGAGCCCAAGACCCTGAGATCATGACCTGAGCCGAAGGCAGACGCTTAACTGACTGAGCCACCCAGGCGCCCCTTATTTTTTATTTTTTGACACAGCAAGTGGTGGGGGGCAGAGAGCAGAGGGAGAGGGAGAGCATCTTAAGCAGACTCCATGCTGAGTGCCCAGTTACAGGGCTTAATCTCATGACCCTGAGATCGTGACCTGAGTGGAAATCAAGAGTCAGATGCTTAACCGACTGAGCCACCCAGGCGCCCCTAGAGGGGCTTTTAAAAGAAAGAATAGGAAAGGAAAAATTTGGAAATTGGAAAAAAATGATGAGTGAGATTAGAGACAGACAAACCCAAGTGGATGTTTGTGAAGTCACTGTGTTTTGTGACTGAAAGTGCCTAGAGACAGTTCAGCCATGTTCAGGATGTGGCCCCCATCCCTTTTCCTCAGTGCTATGGGACCTAAGCAGGACACAAGTCATAGGCCCTGGCCTATCAGAAAGTCCCTTTCCTTCCTAACACTGAGGCCACATCCTTTTTTCCTTTCTCTTTGAGGGTTTTCATTAAAAGTAACTTGTTTGCTCACCATCTTACTTACCCATACCCATTATGTGTGAGGAATAAATTTGGCTTGGAATTCTTTTTGCTTTCCTACCTTTCTCTGTGACCCAGGTACAATCGTATCTCTCCCAAGGGACTCCTTAGTTTTCCTCATCTGACCAAGAACACCTCCTTCTTACTCATCAGAAGAAACTTCCTTATTAATCTAACTTGGTGTATTTTCCTCCAAAAGAATGAATCCTTTCAAGATGGACAAACTCACTGTGGCAGAATATAGAGAACTTCACCCCACAGTTCTCCCTGTATCTCCTCCATCTTCCCAACATACACGTTTCAAGCAGGGAGCGAGCAGCCACCTTTTGCGACTGCTTTCCTCGGTTACGTCTGTCAGGGCAGAAAGGAGCAGCAACCTGAGCTCCATCACTCTTACTGTCATTTGCAAAAGCCTAACCCACTCAGTGCTTACTCAAGACATCCTGACAAGAGAGGGGAAGAGAGAGAAATGGGAGATAGAGACTTCTGGCCCAGCCTGAGATGGGCAGGCCTTACATCCGGTCCCTGAGCCTGCCCCGAGGGGATGGCTGCCGGGGTTCCAGGTCCACCACAGACATTGTGCCCGGCAGAGCCACACGCTGAGGGGACCAGGAACGCAGGACCAAGGTCACCTTGACATACGACCAATAACCAGGACGGCCTCCCCACAGGTTTGAGACTATGTAAGACACCAAATCTGGGCATAGCTTTTGGGTGTGTGTGGGGGGAGGGGAGATAGAAGTGGCAAGAAAGACAAAATAAAATGGAATTTCCTGCCAGCCCAAATAGTCCTCCCTTGCCTGTTGAAATGAGACTCAGAGCTGCTACATTATGATCTTCATTTTTAATCTTTCCTGAGCCTGGCATCCTTTGGCCTCTCTAAAGAACATCATTAGCATGCACTTATTTATCACTGTTTCCCTGAGTATTTTTGAATTACTTTGTAAAAAAAAAAATCTCTATTTATAGACATTTTACAACCTGATTTTCTTCCTTTCAAAAAGGTTTTTACTATGTATTGTTCGGTGACGGATAAGGACTACATTTATCCTGGTGAGCACTGAGTAATGTACAGAATTATTGAATTATTATGTTGTACACTTGAAGCTAATATAACATTGCATGTTAATTATATGTCAACAAAACATTTTTTTACTATGAAAAATCTTACAGGTACACAAAATTATAAAGAATACTAAAACAAATCCCCACATACCCATCATCTAGCTTCAAGAATTATCAACATTTTTGCCAATCTTGTTTCACCTATCACCCCAATGATTTTTCTCCCCTCTTGGGTACTTTAATGCAAGTCTGAGACATCATATCATCTTTAACAGGTGGGAATATATATATATATATATATATATATAATCACAATGCCTTTATTACCTCTAACAAAGGCACACAATAATTCCTTAATCTAAAACTCAGCCTAACGTACACCCCAATGGTTATAGCAGAAATGTCCACAATAGCCAAACTATGGAAAGAGCCTCGATGTCCATCAACAGATGAATGGATAAAGAAGATGTGGTATATATATATACAATGGAATATTATGCAGCCATTAAAAAACCCGAAATCTTGCTATTTGCAATGACGTGGATGGAACTAGAGGGTATTATGCTAAGTGAAATAAGTCAGTCAGAGAAAGACAAGTATATGATCTCACTGATATGAGGAATTTGAGAAACAAGACAGAGGATCATAGGGGAAGGGAGGGAAAAAGGAAACAAGACGAAACCAGAGGGGGAGATAAACCATGAGACACTCTTAATCTCAGGAAACAAACTGAGGGTTGCTGGAGTGGAGGGGGGTGGGAGGGATGAGGTGGCTGGGTGAGGGACATTGGGGAGGGTATGTGCTATGGTGAGCACTGTGAACTGTGTAAGACTGATAAATCACACACCTGTACCCCTGAAACAAATAATACATTGTTAATTAAAAAATAAAATAAAATAATAAAACTCAGCCTGTATTAAAATTTTCCTGATTGTCCTAAAACATGTCATTTACAAGTGGTTTCCTTCAATCATAATCCAAACAAAGTCCTTACACTACATTTTATGCCTTATTTGTTATTGACAGCAGACAGGCCACACCTATTTTTAAATCACTATACAGGAAAGCACGAAGATAGCCTTATTCACTGAAAACACAGTTTGGGAACACAGAACCTGCATAAACCTGAGCAGACTCTCACCAGAGAAAACTTAATTCCTCCCCGATTAGCAAAGCAAAATTTTGAGCTATGTATGACAACAGCAAAATAAACTTTACTTAAATGGTTTCTTTTCAAACTGAAGATTTAGTATACTTTCCCCATCTCTAATTGTCAGCCACATGGTATTGTTTTGAAGTATTTAGGGCATCTGCTACTTGGGCTGCTGAAGTTTTATATTTATGGGCACAAAACAGCCTGTTAGGGAAGTATTGATTTTTCTATGGCAGTTACAAGACGCTATGTTTGCAAATGTGGAAAAAAAAAGCCCACTTTATATTTAGTAAGAATGTTAGTTCAACCAAAAATAGCAAGAAAAAACTTAATCTTGAAGTACAATGGATGCCAAAGGTGGGACACAGTAGTCAAGCCTAGCCTCTTTCTTTGCAGCCTATTCCTCTAAGCATAGTACTAATGTGTAAAATTTGGGGGGAAATTTATGCCTTCCCCCTTCTCTTGACAGGGCATTTCTAGTCCTTCCACTTGGAAATGAAAATACTGTAGAAAAACACATTTAAGAGAAGGTATTCACTTTTCACTACTTGGTCTCTACTCTTCAAAAGTACATTATTTTATCAAAACCACAAGGAAATGTCACCTCACACCTGTTAGGATGGCTATTATCAAAAAATAAAAAAATGCAAAAAAGAGGGGTGCCTGGGTGGCTCAGTCAGTTAAGCATCTGACCCTTGATTTCAGTTCAGGTCATGATCTCAGGGTTGTGGGATCCCACAGCAGGGTCCATGCTGGGTGTGGAGCCTGCTTAAGATTCTCTCTCTCTCCCTCTCCTTCTGTTCCATGCCCTGCCCACAAACCCCACCCCCACCCCGAGCTCACACCCACATGCGCATGCTCTCTCTCTCTCTCTTTTTAGAGAGAGAGAGAAAAGAACAAGTGTAGGCAAGGATGTGGAGACACTGGAACCCTTGTGTACCGTTAATGGGAATGTAAAATGGTGTAGTTACTGTGGAATACAGTATGGCAGTTCCTCAAAAAATTAAACCTATAATTACTATATGATCCATTGCTCAAAGGTAAATCTAGGGGATATAATGATCAGATTTGAAAATCATACAGCTCTGTGAAGCAGACTCAATTACATGCACCCTTTATTCCTTGTTCTCCACAGAATGGAAAAACCAACCTGTTTCTAGCATATGCAAGAGTTTCCACACTTTTAGGTAAGTACTGATGACCAAAATCTGATTTAAAAATACTGTTCAGTAAAATTTGTGTTTGTGTATTAGACTAACTGGGTAGTTTCAAGTGGCAAAAAATGTATTCAGTACTCTGAGTATTATTTCCTCCGTATTCAGTACTCTGAGTATTATTTCCTCTGTATTCAGTACTCTGAGTATTATTTCCTCCGTATTCAGTACTCTGAGTATTATTTCCTCTTTGCAATTTGTTTTCTAAAAGTTAGTGTTTTTTATATCTACTAAAAACTATTGAAGTCTTGATTTCTGAAGTCATAAAGTTTACTAAAACATGATGATTCGTTTTTATCAAGATTTTTTTGTTCTACAGAAATCAGACAAAAAATATGAGATTTAAAAACTAAGCTCTGGGGGCGCCTGGGTGGCTCAGTCGTTAAGCGTCTGCCATCGGCTCAGGTCATGATCCCAGGGTGCTGGGATCAAGTCCTGCATCGGGCTCCCTGCTCCGCAGGAAGCCTGTTTCTCCCTCTCCCACTCCCCCTGCTTGTGTTCCCTCTCTTGCTCGCTCTCTCTCTGTCAAATAAATAAATAAATAAAATCTTTAAAAAATAAAAAAAACTAAGGTCTGTACAAAAAAAAAAACTAAGCTCTGTACAGGTATGGACCATTTTTTCTTATGTCTCCAAATAACATGCACAGAGCCAGTGCCTCATGAACTATGTTAAATTGAATTTTACTGGTCTGTTCCATTAAGAAATGCGCTCTGTAATTATCTGAATAAATTCTTCTTTAGCATTCAAAATACTCTACGTGACATACTTATAGGTAAACCAAATTATAACAAATATATTTTCATATTCCTAAGTAACAAGCTGACTTAAGGTCAATAAGGGGTGTTAAAACAGTACTCTGAACACTTAATTTTTCTTATAATTTTGTAAAAATATATGTTGGAAGAGAGGTTTCAACAGTTCTGAACACTTTCCCATTCTAGTTGTACAATAGCAGTGACCTTTAGCATTCACCTTCTGTTTTGGAAGTCTCAGAAAAGTCATGACACAACTCTAGGGAAATAATGCAAAAACCAAGGAATGAAGTAAAAATTCACACTCACCCTGCATTTGAACTATGTCATGCTGGGAATTGGTCGTTGAGTATAAGGAGCCTTTTCTAACAGACTGCCAGAACTGAGCTAGAGCTAGCCTCTAGGGCTGGGAAAACAGAGAAAGGGGAGAGTATCTAAAGCAGTGCTTTTCAATCTTTAGTCAAGAACCACCTGGAGAACCTGTGAAAACTCAGCTGTGTCCCACTCTCTCTTGGTGATTCCATTTCAGTAGGTCTGGGGTGCAGCCAGATAATTTACATTTCTCACAAGCTCCCAGGTGCTACCACTGGCCTATTTGAGAACCAATGTTCTAAAGAGTACTGACATAACAACATCTTGTTAAAGTAATGCCAAATGTAATATGGACACTACAGGGCTTTGAAAAACAAAGAATGAACAAAACATAAAGACTGAAAGGAGTACTCTTCAAATAAGACAAACTAATGTTATTTTCGAGCTGAATCTAAAGACACGTCATGGACTTCTTCTGGCTGGCCTGACAGCTGGAGGTTGCTTTCAAGATGTTAACTCACTTTTGTTTTTTTCCTGAAATTACCAGCAAGCACTGAACACTGGGCTTAATTATATATAACAAGGCTCTTCCTCAAATTGCTATGAATATTGCTATGTATATATACAGATCCTGGCCAAAAATCACTCTGTAAATAAACTGAAGTAAAATGATAATGGTTCGATTTTCATTTACAGAAAACAAATCCTGCCATTTACAAGTTGTGCTTGGATGAAGCCCATGAGAAAAGATACTTTTAAGTCATTACATATTCAATTCAAATAGGCCCATCACTTTAATGAATCACAAGAAGTTTACAATGCAGTAATAGTAAATGAATACTATAAACTTGCGTAGTTAGCATACAAAATTAAATAAGTTGGAATCTCTAGAAAGAAACCCTATGCCAGCGAGATTGTAAAACAATTTATTTTCCAAATATTATTCTTTTCCATGCAACCAGGTCTAGGTCATCAATTTGCTGGAGTAGTATTCTCTATGTGCTGTGTCAGATTAACAAAATTGAATCTAATAGTTTCTTAGCAACTGCAGACATTTTAAAATCCTTTGTGTATACTCTTTATGATATAGGTCCATGGTGTTAAGTTTTTAAGAGTACTGGTGCACAGGTCAATGTTTCATGAAGGTAATTCTAAATCTGTTATGATTCATAGACTCAATTCAGAGTTCTAGAAATTTTGAGTTGTTACAATCCCAAATTCTGAAAGGTTAGCTCATTGCTAACAACGTGTGTATTATTGGAGCAATGCTAGATTATAAAACTCATTATTCATTAATAATGAAATACACAAAGGTAAGGTGATTTTTCAGACAGATACCAATTTAAAAATTAGTTATAACTATATTCAGTGCCAAAATATCAATTACTTTCTATGGATGACTTTACCGGTTTAAACATTTGGTTTCAGACACTGTCACTGGTAAGTTGCCTGCCTTCATTTATACACTTAAAAGTACAGTGATAAACTACAATGGGGGTGGCTTCTCTTTCCATTACTTACCTAGGTTTTGCCACATGCTGAAAATTTCACAACCCATTGTGACGCGCATGTCACCATACCTGAAATAAAACAAAAAGCAAACCTGATACAAAACCTTCAAAACAAAGAAGTATTTGTGTCTTTTTGGAATAGAAAAGTATTTATGTCTCTTCTGAATTAAAAGACACTGTTTGTAATTAAAGATGTTTAATGTAGATGTCTTGATGCTTCTAATGCAAATCCTTGTATAAATCCTTTAATAAAACAGACTTGTCCTCTATTTTATTTGCTTCTAAAATATATTGATTCCTGAAAGATGGAGTTCCGCCCCCCCCAAATAAAAGTATAAGTAAGTTCAAAATTTCCAGAAAAGAGTGCTTCTTGTCCTCTTGCTCATTGCTTCTCCATTGTCATTTCCAGTTATGGACATCTGATTTATGAATCATTTGAACTAAACACCCTCTTAAAAGCACAACATTTGATCTGCCTCATATCCCCACCGAATTATATACCGATACTTACTTTTCTAACACCTTTTTCTTTTTGGAAGGTGTGAACATCTCTAACTGCAGACACAACTGGTTTATAAAAATGACCGCAAGGTAAAAGTAGGAATCCCAGATCTAAAACAAGATTATAGTGTTACAAAAATATTTACAGATTAAGTGACATGATATCTTGGATTTGTTTCAAAAGTGATAAGTGGGCGGGGGTACAGGTGAAATAAGATTGGCCCTGTGTGAATAATAGTCGAATCTGGATATGGGTACATGGGGGTTCATCACACTATTCTCTCTGCTTTTATATATGCTTGAAATTTGCTGTAACAAAGTAAAGCAAAGAAATATTATCTATTTCTATACTGTTTCAGTGCCTTATCACAGGTTTCTTAAGCTCCCTGGTATATGTTAAATGTTTTGTTTCTCTTATAATATGTCTGAGTATCTCCATGGAAGCTGAGGTATAAGCTGGGTTATTTTATTCCTGTGAGAATTCATTTTTGGAACTCCTTTTAATGGAGAATTAAAAAAAAAAAAAAAGGCATACACTTCTCTGGATATGCTAATTGCTTTAAATTCAGACAGCATAAAAAAATTCCCTGCCCAGACATATCTTTTGAGTTTAAGGTTTCTTATATCAAAAACAGCACCAGAAAGAGATCAGAATAAAATTCCCAGAAATAAACTTAACCAAAAATATATGACATAATGGAAGGAAACTACTTCTTCACGGACACCAAGTAAAATTAGAAATAATAAGGAGAAACGTTGTAAAGAATTAATATCTTTTATATATAAAGAGCTCTTACAAACAAAAAATGTAAGACCAAGCAAAATAATGAACAAAAGTCAAGAGCAGATATTTCACAAAATATGAATTTTAGTCAGTAATTTCAGGTTGGGTGTATATATAGGAAATCAAATATAATTGGTATAACCCTTAACTCAATAATTCTACTTACAAATATTTATCCAAAAAATAATTAAGGATATGTGCCAAGTTTTATTTTGTAAGAAGGCACATAGAGTGATTTATAAGAATACAATAGCAGAAACAACTTAATATTAAAAAGTAAAGTTGATTATGAAATTTTCATATATTTATTATTATATGGTATGATATACAGACATAGTGTGCAACCTTTAAATTCCATTGGTTTTTACTGATTTGTGCTTTTTTATGTTTTCTAGTTATCCAATAGGGACAATTTACTCAATGTTGAATATGAAAAATGTTATTTAAAAAGAATAGGAAACACAGATGCCAAAACCCAAAAACATCGTTAAGAAGGGAAGCCAAGATAAGCGTTGCCCATCTTTGTTTACCAATTATCATTTTCTGTTTAAAAAATAGTATATCAAGGGGTGCCTGGGTGGCTTAGTCATTAAGCGTCTGCCTTCAGCTCATGTCATGATCCCAGGGTCCTGGGATCGAGCCCCACATCGGGCTCCCTGCTCAGCGGGAAGCCTGCTTTTCCCTCTCCCACTCCCTCTGCTTGTGTTCCCTCTCTCGCTGTCTCCCTCTGTCAAATAAATAAATAAAATCTTAAAAAAAAATAGTATATCAAGAATTCTTAGGCATATCAAATTATATTATAGATGTAGAGAAAGTTCTGCCTTAAAGAATTTTACCAATCTTTCATTTTGTTTCTTTTCATTAATTCATTCTAAAAAAAATGTGATGATGGAGAAGTAAAGGAACTGAAGTGTTTACTTTGTAAACATTTTCTTCATATAAACTCTATTTTAAAAAATGTCTTAAAAACCTATGTTCTAAGTTCCCTTTGTCACACATGAGGACCATACAAGAAAGAAGAATGAAAATTTAGAGTAACAACAAGGAACTACCTCCTCTTACGCACCATGATTTCCACTAGGTTGATAAGCATGATTGTAGCCCTAACTTGTTCAGAAATGACAACTTCTAATATTATTCATCATGAAAGCTGATATAGCCCAAGATTAATTTAGGGTAGGTGGAGTAAATATGTTTTCCTATTATTAAAAGAAAGAAAATATGGTAGGTAATTTCCTCAAGTATAAGGTAAAAGATTTCAGCTCAGGTAGGAGAGTCATCTGGATGGATACTTACCTTATAATCAAAGTTTTCATTTAAGAAGTTCTTACGAAGTGCATCAGACAGGTATAGAACTGTTGTAATAATAACGCTAGTGAAAAAAAAAAAGAACATTTTAAGTTGGAAACTTTGCATTAGTGAAAATCATTTATTACATAAGAATAAAAAACAATTAAGGTAAAAGAAAACCTACAGGGGGCACCTGGATAGCTCAGTTGGTTAAGTGTCCAACTCTCGGTTTCAGCCCTGAGATCAAGCCCCATGTCAGGCTCTGTGCTCAGCTTGGAGTCAGCTTGGGATGCTTTTTTTCTCCTTCTTCCTCCCCTTCCGCTCACCCCCCCCCACCCCACTGTCCCCAAATAAATACATAAATAAATAAATTTTTTAAAAAGGAAAAGAAAACCTTCAGGAAGCGTGTGGAATAATATTATTTGAATACCATGTGCTAACTTTCTGAAAATTTTCTTTAATCTCTACACCCCCCAAAAAAAAATCAATCACTGAAGTTGGGTTCTTTGTAAAATGATACCCAGATCTATGAATTCATATGACTCAGGCAGAAATATATTAATCTCTAGCAGAAATTAATGCTTTTATTAATTTCTGAACAAAGCAAAATGATTAATCCAAATATAATATTCCATATTTGATTAACATGGAAGAAAGCCACACTTCAAAAAAAAAACAGAAAAAGAAATGGAGCCCAAAGATGAAATCAATAAAATGACAGAATATATTGAGTATTTATTAGAAGTCTTCTCTCTGTTCTCCCCCTTTTAAGGTATTAAGGGTCAGGCAAGAGCTACGGAAGGCAGACTCCCTCTCTCCTGGTGACAGAATGCCACTAAAGAAACAATTACAGACTGTGAAATTGTCTATAACCCAGCACTAAGCTGAGGGAAACTGCCAGTGGGTGTTAAGGCAATTCAGAAAATGGGGCATCTCAGGGCTGGAGAAATTAGGGGAAGCCTGACAAGGGGACATATTACAGCCACGTGTCGCTTGCTAGGGAGATTAAAAGAGGATTTGGTGAGCATTCTTGGTTAATTCTAGAGTTAGGCAATTCGTTCAAAACCTGCTCCTTTTTGTAGCTCTGTGAATTGACATTCAAAACTGAATGCATATCCAGTTGGTTCATTTAATATTACATACAGCATTACACTGAAACAACACAGGCCATTCCCCAAAATACTATAAACTAATGGTATACATATATATATATATGGCTGATACTCAAAACCTCCTCGACCTTTGCTGAGATGCATGCCCAATGGAGTGTCTGATGTGATGAGACTCCAGTTCTCACCACAGGATTTGCAATCAAGGGGTAGAGTTCTATGACCGCAAATAAAACAAAAGGAAACAAAACACCCCACCAACTTCACACCTTGATTATCCTACTGGTAAAACGTAGACTAGAGGGATATTTACTAATTAGAAGAATATTTAGAGCCTTTGAAGGACATAAAGGTTCATTATTGTCATCTGCTGGAAAACTCACTATGATAGCCTTCTCCTGGGATAAGAAAATATTAATAAGACTAAGGGGTCAGATGGTTGAATGAGAATAGCCCAAGGTAAAGAAAGGGAAAGAGAAGAAAACCACCATTTCTCGGGCACCTGCTCCACCGTGAGTAGGCATGTACATTTTATATATGTCAATTACATCTTTCAACAACTCTTACTGTGAACGTTAGGTATAAGCAGAGCCTATGAAAATGAAAAGTCCCGTGGTGTCTCCAGCTCCCCAAACAGCAGATACCATCAGTGAATTTCCTACTAAAGAGATAAATCACCTGCAAATAACAGTATGAAGTGGCAATTTTCCATAGCCACTAGCAGAATTGGTGATAACTGAAGAAATCATTAAAATTCCCTAAGTAGTTTATCTAAAACTTACATTATGAAACTAATGCTTAATTATCAGAAAATGGAATGCTATCAAGCAAGGAAGCAGTTCATTCTTAACATGTGGTTCTAAGCACAAACGTTCTGCTATGGTATTCAATGGAGAAATACACACAGTCCCACTACACCTGAGTTTCACATAAAAAAACCACCTTCTGGCCCACGACTGTAGCATGAATTGTTGTTCAGAAACAAGAGCATCCAGTGCTAGTGAAACATGACATATCTGGGATTTAGACTATTGGGCCTAAGGTCCTGGCAAGCAGCCAAAACATTCAACTTTCCAAAGTAAGAAGGTATTCCACAGCAAAGATGACCCATTTATTATTTATATGCTGGGTCCCAAACACAAACAAAATCCACAGTTCCCTGAACTGTGCTCGCTGGTAAACAACATGGAGCCTCTGTGACCTTATTGTCAACCAGTGAGTCTTAACCTGGTTGCTCCCTGGAATCACCCAGGAGCCTTTAAAATACAGATAGATACCCCCAGAGATTCTAATGAATGGACTTGGGTACAACCTGGACATCAGGAGTGTTAGGACTCCCAAGTGATTCTCCTGTGCACCCAGAACTGAGAACCACTGCTCCAGACAAAGCAGTGCTTCTCAAACTTTAGTGGGTACCTGGTGATCTAGTTAAAAATGCAGATTATGACTCAGTAGGCCTGGGGTGGGGCCTGAGATTCTGCCATTTCTCACAAGCTCCAGGGGATGCTCACGCTGTTCATCCTTGGTCCACCCTTTGAAGAGCAAAGCTCTCCAGAGGCCTAAGCCAGATAAACATTCCAACAAACTCTATTTCACATTCTCTTGGCTTCTAGCATTTTAGGCCAGTCATTATACCTGGTCATTCTTTAAGGGAGCATGTAGTCCTTGTTCTAGATTCAATACCTCGTCCTGTCACCAAGGCCGGTTTATTATTAGGCACAAGAGGCAGAGGACATAGGACCTACGATCTTTTTAGGAGCTTTGGAAAATATTGAGACCTGAAAAGATGTTATGGGACCAAAATTAAAACTGCAAAATAGGGAACCTGGGTGGCTCAGTCGTTAAGCGTCTGCCTTCGGCTCAGGTCATGATCCCAGGGTCCTGGGATCGAGTCCCACATCGGGCTCCTTGCTCGCCGGGGAGCCTGCTTCTCCCTCTACTGCTCTGCCTGCCGCTCCCCCTCCTTGTGCTCTCTCTCTCTGACAAATAAATAAACAAAATCTTTAAAAAAAAAACAAAACTGCAAAATAAAAACTAAAAAAAGGTTTAATTATATGTCTGTAGAATGCAACATTACTTATATCATTTATTGTCCAATTTCATATTTAGGCAACTTCTATTGTATTAAAAAAAAGTATAGGTTACTTTTTACAACTTTACAAGAATTCCTAAATATACAGAAATGCTGAGAAATCCCAAGCAGTTGGAGTTAAATGACTCACTCATAGGCCAATAATTTAAAAAGCAAAATGTAAAAATTGCTTTTTACTTCTTTTCTTCAGTAAAATGTGGCATGTGGGTCTATTTAATATGTTTGATAGGCTGAGAGGTAAGACCTCCAAAAACAAGACTTCCCAAAACTAGAAGGACCTAAAGTGAGTCTACTTCAAATGCTTTGCATTTATGCTTAAAACATTCAGCTCAAGTCACAGAGGCAGCTCCCAGAGCTTTTCATGGTAACTCAGCACTGAGTGAGGATCCTGGCACACAGGTCTCCAAGCCATAAAGGCAGTTATACATTATTGCTCCTTCATTGTAGTCGATATCTGTGGTGTTTAGAGATCTTGCTCTACTTGTTCCAATTTTTCCAAAACAATGTGGCTCCTTTGGTTTTATTCTTTTACTCATGACTCAGTTTTTGAATATAAGGACATTTCAAATCTCAGCACACCACTTCAATAGCCAAGAAAGGTTTGCAATCTGTTACTACAAATGGTCAAATGACTGATATTTGCCAAAGAAGTACAGGCACAAGGATGACTTCAGACAACCTTCATCTATGGGCACAGCACGGTATAATTTACATAGAAAAGAGGAACTAGTGCACAGGAAATCAAAGTTATTGCTTCAAGATTTTCAGTTGCCACCTCATTCTGGCATTTAGAAAGTATTTTTGAAGAAATACTACCTCCCTGCTCTAGAAATCTCATCTATTCTAATTTGTTGTAAACTACTCCAACTTGTTAACGTGCTGAAGCAAAAGCCCATCTCCACAAATTATACCTGGACTGGGAGAAGCAACTTTGTGGATAAACTGGGTATCAGAAGACTAATGTTTACACAATGAAAATCTAGAGAACTCTAATCATGGAGAAAAACAACTTCCCTACAACCTGGTGGGTTAATAGGGGCAGAAGAAATCAGCACAAAGACTCTTGGGGCAGATGAAAATCCTGGAAGGCCATCGAAGGGAACTGATCTAAGCTAGTGGTCCTCAAACTTTAGAGCCATGACAAAATCACCTGGAGGATTCATCAGACTTCAGGGCCTTACCACCACCGATGGCCTGGTGAGTTCCAGATGGGGCCCAACCAGACGATTCTAACGCACGTGATCGTCCTGTCTCGTTTTGGGGACTGTGTTACAGATGGAGGAGAAGACAGCCAAGGGTTGGAACTTGGACAGCAGTGATGCTGGGGGATCTGGCCTTGTTAATCACTGCTTCACCAAGGGCCTAGCCCACAGTAAGTTTTATTGAATGACTGTAGCCTCACAACTATATGTAAACCTATGCTTTGTTATACTTATTTGCTGTACTAGGTAATTCTAAAATGAGAAGCTTGTAAAACATTTTATGCCTTTTTAAAAGCTATTTTGAAGAACAGACTGAAGGCACTCCAAGTGGAGGGCACAGCATAAGCCAAAATGGAAGCAGGAAATGGAGTGATTGGGCTTTTAGTCAAGTGTGCTGTATGGGTGAGGAAGAACAAACCAAGATTGAAATGGAGGGATTTAGGGATTTTAAAAACTCCCTTGACCTTCTCCACTGAGTGGTACTGGCAGAAAGTCACTCATGTGTCAACAGGCTCAGGTTTAGCCTATCAGGCTCAGATCGTAAGGAAGCCTTTAGTTCATGGATCCATTCTTCCTACCAGCTCCTCACAACTCACCAGAACATGGAGTATGCGGGAGGTTCTTGCATAAATATTTGCTGTCACTATTTAAGTTTGGCACATTCATCTGAGTAATAGAT